TTCACAACTTAAACTTCTCTAGTACCATCATACAATAAAAGTATGCACTAAGTGATTGAAGTATGTACTAAGGCCAGGATATCACTATAGCGTTCTACTCCTGAAGGCGAATTAAGGGTCCCCCATTTTTTTATGCAAGGTAATTGAGAAGTGGCTCATGCATGCACTGGAACTACAATCTATATGCCAGGGCTCAACCACTGGACGCCATGACAAACATTTCAGCGCTCACTGCTAAGATATAGCGCATGCACACTGCCAGACATGCCAAAAGCAAATCACTTACGAGAACTTCCACACTTTCACCAGGTTGTCACACCCACCGGTCACAAAACGCTTGAGGACTTTGGAGTCGTCCAGGGAAATTTCGCCAGAGGCTTTGGCTGGGGCCCAGCTGACAGCATTGCAACCAATCTGAAAATGAAGAAATCAGATGTGTTTATCCAATGAGTCTTTCAATGACAACAGGACCTAGTGAAAATCAAGTGTTTCAAAACTTCTGCAGGCATCTGGAAATGCGACATTTGGTTTCTAGCTTGTGACTGGAAACATAAGAGGTGATGCAATCCACACTTTTCGCTGCAGTCAAGGCAATAAGACTTGTTAATTGACAGCTTGAAAAATACTGCGCATGTGCGAGCAAGTTCATTTTCTACACTAAAACCTTGACCATACACTAGCAGACAGACAAAGTTTTCCCTTTCAACTCTTTCTTTCTTTTGATTCCCAGTCAGTTTACCCCTTTATCTCAGAGCAAAAGGGAACTTACAATCAGGTGCAACATTTCTGCAGAATATTCTTAAAAGCCATCATACGGATTCCACACCTTTGCTGGGACGTGGAGGGATGAAATGCTTCAAGTGAGAGAAGGTAGGGAACGAGAAGTCTTGTAGGAAATATTTTTTCTAGAAAGCCGACTAACAGGCTTTTGCTAAGTGTAAACCAGAGAATGCACACTATTCTTCAAAGTGCAGATTGTTTGCTGCCAATCCTATCGCTTAACCAGCGTCACATAAAATAGTCATATTTCTAAAAAGCCGAACACTCATCACCTTACCAGTGGTATTGCCAGTGAAGGTGTGGGCAAGTTTTATGTGCACTTTAAAAATGTCACCTGTGTACAGAGCAACCAAGCAACTGCTGGAATCTTTCTTATTCTGCAATTTTCCATGAAACAATAGCCTAACCTGCAGGCTCGCTTGCATGCATTCATGATGTACAGTGCAACACGTGTGCATGCTTTCTTTCAGTAACCCCGTAGAATTACATCATACACTGAAGGAGCAGCAGCGAGACTTGGCCACTGCGCCAAGCAGTGAAGTCTGGAGAAATAACCCAACCATGTTTTGCCGGCTTAGTAATGTTTAGTAACACCACATTCGATGTATGTTGAGACCGATGTGAAACGCCTTCATATTTTTCCACAGATGGTACCACCATCTGTGGGAAAAAGGAATCTATTGCCAGATTTCTAATTTGTTCAAAATCTTCAGTTCCTAGGACTGCTGGGTAAGCAAGTACTGGTAATTAGAAGACACTACGTAGCTTTGCAAAGCAGCAATACTTGTGAATTAGCATGTGAAAGAAAAAAAAATGACAACGAGCAAGAGCCTGGCCAGTAGAAAAATGAGAAGTTCACTGCTGCCCTGTAAATTTTCTTATTAAGATAAGACAATTTCCTCTTTACAAAATCCCAGAGAAGTGCTTGCTGATAGAACATAAAAGATTTCAGTTTCGTCCCTTCATCGGTAATGCATGGCAGGTAGAGTCATAAGTTGGATAATTTAAGTAATTCATGAACTATTATACGAAAACCTCATGTAGACCAAGTACATTGTAAATTGGAAACTCGTATATTGTTCAACATTAAGAAATAAATTTCCTACACAAACTTTCATTGCTTGCTTATATGTGTTGTAACCTGCATCAATATCTAATGGCTTTGAACACAATCTCTCTTCTTAGAAACCTCTCACAGCGCTTCATTGAACGGCACAGAAATTATAATTTCATTAAATAAAGAGTTTTCCTGTACTTGCACTACAACAGCAAAAACGCTGTATTTTGCTCACACTGTTGTCATTTCTACGAAATAATGCTTCAGACTAGGCAAAAATACCAGCGGCCATTACAAAGAGGAAAACGTAAGCTTTCTAATGCAAACAGAATTCATATCAATCCAAGGAGTGAAGTAATTGCAATGTGTCCTACCTGTGCCACACAGGCCGAGCAATGTGTCATATGAACAGAGTGGTTATTTTAATGGCATTTGACCTGATGATGTCAATAGCAACGGCTTTTGAAATATGCAATTTTATTATAGAATATAAATGTGCATTTTAACAGCTATAACCTGCTTTCAGAAATAGTTAAATGTAACAGCAAGACATTATACTGCCATTAGCTTGAGTTTGTTTTCTTTCTTTAAAACATTTCAACCAACCACAGCAACTTCGGTCATTGTTGAACTCGAAACCTAGAATTCGACTTGGCACCAGTTATGCCGAAACCGTTGCGATTCCGAAGTGAATTTAGAAGTAGTGCGACAGTAAAATGACAAGCTTTCAATTAAAAGTTGCATTAAAATTTTTTCACCTGGTAGATGCTACTTTTAGATTTCTTACGTGCACTGTAACTGAGTAAGCTTCAGCATCAATGAGCTCATTTCTCAGTTGAATGCACTCTAGAGAAAGCATTAGAAGTCAAATGGCATTCAGGCATGTGCCATTTCATTTGGCCGTGTGGCACGGGTATCTGCAAACGATTACTAAAATGTGAAGCTGGTGACACCAGAGTGGAACTGCCACCTTGATAACGAGCAGGAAGATTGGTGGCCTATGGTCATGCATCATTAAAAGAGGCAACAATTTAACGATAACCTGACATCACAAACTTCGCATTCCATGTTGGTACTAAGACATTAGGGCTGCAGTGACGTCAGTGCCAGAAGCCTATCGCTGCTACGCCAGTTTAGTCCACTAATGACGTCATACTTCTCGGGTCACGTGACCTCGTGCTCGTAAGGTCAAACCTGCTCTTACCGTGTGGGCATTGTTGATTTTCTGGCTTTCCCAGGATCCGTCTCCCGAGGTGCTCACGATGGATACGGCACCATCCGAGCTGCCGCACGCCAGCATCAAGCCGAACTCGTGGGGAGCCCAGCAGATGGAGTTGACCGAGGACTCGTGGTTCTTGAACTCCTCCAGCTTAGCCCATGTGCCGTCGGTCTCCTTCCACAGGATCACTTTGCGGTCGTACGAGCAGGATGCGAGCACCGTTCCAAACATGGGATGCGCCCAGGCGATCTGCCACACGGGACCCTCGTGGCCCTTCAGGTCGGCGACCAGCTTCTGCGTCCCGTTGCGGATGTCGAACACCTTGACGGAACGGTCCGACGAGCAGGTCGCCAGCCGGATGCCGTAGTAGTCCATCTGGGCATCGTGCTGCAGAGCACAGAACAAACACACACGTTCTAACGCACGCGCACACTACACGACGCTTGAAAAGCTTACAATCATGTCCTCGTGGGCGGTGTCGATGGTCTGCAGTAACGACACCTGAAAGGCAAGAAAAAACTCGCTTTGACGGTGGCAGTGGTGACGTCTGTAAACTTGGCCAACTTGGCCTCGAGTTCTTCCGAAAGCCTCTGCTTAGGCCTAGTCTGGAACGCTAGCTCGAACATCCCAGTGCAGCTCTTCTTTTGTGAACGAAATTCTGCAACGACGATAGCAGCACGCAGTCTTACCATGGTTCCCAAGTCTGCGGCGGGCTACGGTTCTCTCAAGTCCAGGTGGTTCTCGGAGCACACGACGCGTTGCAGGCTCGCTCCGAAGCACCGCCACCGGCGAATCGAGGAACTGCGGAGAAGGCGAAACAGAATTGATACATTACACCAGCACCGCGATAAAAGATTCGAGGGATCGCTGTGAACGAACCCAAGTTGAGGTCCCGGACGCCTGCCTGATCAGCAGGCACTGCCACGCGACCGCTGTTCCTCGGCGATGGAATCCTTGTGCGTGCTCACGCGGGGAAAAGCCACGTAATGGTGGGCGACACGCGCAGCTTCGTCGTCTTTCTTGATGAGACCGTCTTGTTGTTCTGTCCAAATAAATTTCTCTTTAACGGGGAATAGACGGTTATATTGTCTGTAGACATGTCGCAATGAACACTTGCACGCAGAGAATGATAAATAAGGCCCTTCAGATGTTTATTTGTCAATGCCTTAATTTTTTTTACCTTTTCTGCTCAATAAAACTCATTTTTATTTTGTTTAAATTTAAATCATTGTACTTACGTGAAACGGGCTTCCCTGCTTTATTTTTAGGTTTATTTAGGGTTTACTAACAGTTTTCCCGCATCGACGCTAGGGCCATAGACATCAGTAAGAGCGCGTTATTTCGAACAAATGAGACGGCGACTAAGCGCGCACGACGACCGCGCATCCAAAGAGCATCACCATAATCAACAAATAGGCCCCAACGCTTTTTGCGTATTCGCGATTTAAGTCAAGTAGGCGCGAAGAGTTTTCGAATAGGGTGTACGGCATTTTGGGCTCTGGTCTTGACCGAGTGCCGCCACAACAGAGGGTGCCGTCAAGTATGTCTGACGCCAAGCTTTTCGGGCAGGCTTTGGGGCTCCCGCTGAATTCGAGAAATAGCGTCCCCGGTTTGGGTTTTTTGTTGTTTTTTTAATTCTTCCTTGCATTACTGATATCTATAATTTCTTAATTGTTGATATTTTTCATTTATGTGGAATTCTTCATCTTTATTATAGACAAAATGTAACTCATAATTTAAAGGGGCCCTGCAATGTTTATTCGTCTGCATTACGCAGCACTGGAGTGTGTGTAGTGCTTAATACTGAGATGAACATAATAGCAATTTTCAAGATTTGTGCACGCGTGAACATAAGTTATTAGTCTTCAAACTCAGAAATGATGAGAAGAATATTGCCCGAGCACAGGTGGTGGCTTCAGCCTTCAATGTCAAACCACACGGTGACAGAAAGAGTGAAAGGGTTGTCATTTTAATGCATCCATGAGTACAAAGGAGAGAGAGCATCGCATGCCTACAGACTCAACACTGCTGACGTGTGATTAATGAGACTAGCGGCGCGCTACGATGACGACGACTAGTGCAGTGGAGTGGATGGGGAAGGGGGCGGCAGTGCAGTCAGGGTCGGCGGCGGCGCCCCGCGGTCCCGGCCGCGGCCTCACTTGTAGTAGTTCCTCCGGTGAGCATCCCCGGGAGGCATCTGCAAGTGGACACACGCACCGGGTCACGCGGTCGCCGCCTCTCATCTCTCCAGTTGCGCAGTCCCCCCCCAACAAAGAGAAGACTGCTCAACTGCAGACTTGCCGAGTGTACCCCGCACACGCCACCCACCTCTCTCTGGACCAAATCTCCTCGATTGAACGAGCTTTGACTCATTGCTCGAATGCAAGGAGAGGTGTGCAGCTGGTGTGGGGAGGGCACACTTGTTGCACGCAGCCCCAATCCACTGGACTGGGGCTCCAAGTAAGGCAGGCTCAAACAGGATTCTGTCTGTTGACATTTGGCACAGTGTGGTTGCTACTGCTCACACACTGCCATTTGTACTGTCTCAGAAGGAGGAGCTTGCCTGACAATGGCAGAAGCGATTTCACACATGCGCCACAAAGGTCACCTGCGTTGCTGTTCCAAGGCATCAAATACAACTCGCAATCCTTTAAGGTGTGAGGCCACTCTTCCCTTTTATCCCATGCTTTTTTTTGTAGATAGATAAACCTAAAAAGAATGGCAGAACATCAAGATGCTTTGCCACGGTAATGAGCTTAGAAATTAAATAGCTAGCTCTGAGGACCAGTGGAAATGCCATATTTTGAGTGCTAAGTAGAGTGTTATCATGAAGTAATGATTAAAGTACACTGACCAGGGACATTGCAGCTGCCCAACAAAGGAACAGAGCTCACATTTCTTAACGTAATAGGCAGTATATGTTAGCTCATTTAAACAAGTATCGAGACAAATATGTTTGGTTTCATTGTTTACTTGATGCCAAGAGATATATGAAGAGTGAATAGAGCTATCATTCATGTTGCATTCTCATGTGACCCATTCAAAAAGTGCACCAAGGCTGGTGTGTTGTAGTGATGCATTATGCTTTATTCTATGCTAGTCCTATCGTCCACTGCTCAAGGGCATTAATGTAAAAAACACCAGCCTAAGTCTAACTTGGCTTTGAACACGAAGAAAGTTTTCATCCGTGGAGAATCAAATTAGGCAAATCTGACAAGCTCACTGCATTCACAACAAGCAGTACTAACATTGTACGCAATACCATCACATGTGTGACACGTCCCTATTTTCATCTACACTATGTGTTTTGAACATGTTGTTTTCAAGTGTCTTCAATTATTTGTGCCACATGAAAAAAAAAAAAAAAGGCTTCCTAGTGCAATCCTGGAGTCATTAAATACTCACAATAGCAAGTATTTGATTGGATTTCTTAATCTATAGCAAATTTTCACATAAAACACTGTAAGCAGGCAATTGCCAGGAAATATCAACAAGATATAGATAAATGCAAGCTCAGAGTCGAGAGAGATTATGACCAAGCATAATAAAGGATGTGAAAATGTACTACTTCACTGCATCAACAATGCACAAAAAGAAAAATACTACAAAAGCATTCAAATGGCCTCATACCTTAAATGAATGGCAACACATTATCACAAAGATAGAAAAGCTCAAGTGGGGAGGGAAACAGTAGTGTTTACCAGTGATGCACATAGCTCAACATAACGGTCCACTGGTCATGCATGCACAGTGCATACAGTCTGTCTGACAAATGATTCACATTGCAATGACTGAAATGATTCACTTCCAAGATTGACACGACGATTTTGACGCTAGTTCTGCGATAAGGAGAATTGATGTGTACACATTACAGCAGCACCTTTTGTAAGAGCACTGACACTCAGCCGTTTTTGTAAGAACACTGACACTTAGCCAATTTACTTGTTTCTTTCAGCACACTTGAAAGCACGCACATTTGGATGGAGCATGATTGTTTGTTTATTTTTCTCTGGGCTTGTGCTGCCTGCGTACTGACAGTCTTGAAAGGCAGTATGGCATGCCCCATGGATGTGCTGTACAACTGGCAATGGTTATTGCTACCTTCGGGCACTTGGTTTCTTGGGCTTCTGCATTCCTCTGCCACACCGTTTGTCTTTTACAATTCCTGCTCATAAGGTTTGCGTCTTTGTACACAGCAAGGCAAGCATGATGCATGGCCACTTTTCGATTACCTACGCTGCACTGTTCTATGTGGTACAGCAGCCAATCACGCAGCTACGCAGAAATTTACCATCATTCTTGAGCTCGACAATCCAGACCACACAATTACAATGAAGCCTACTCCTCACACGGTCAAGCATATTACATACTTCTCGTATGAGAGCAAACACAGCGGAACCATTCCTGTGGTTGTAAGAACATCTTTGGTTTTATAAAATTTCGTGGTTGGTGCCCATTTATAATTGTTAAAAAGAATGTTCTGAACCCGTCGAGTTTCCGTCCAGATTTTGACTTCACCATGATTGATCAATGCAGTCCTTTGGTATGGTAACCCACTATTCAATACTGCATCTCTATGCATAATTAAGCAATGGCAGTGTGCACGAATGCAATATTACTCCTTGAAGAATGTCCACTGTTTTTATATGCAAACATTTATACAACAGAAAATGTACAACCTAAGCTAACAATATTACTATTCATTGGATGGCCATCAGCAATTCTGAACATAGGTGCAGTAGTGAATTAAATTACCAGTTATTATTCTTTTCTGTCCAAATAGATCTGGGAGTTTATCAATGATGAACTTTGCTGCTCTATTGTTTCTAGAATTTCTAGAAAATAAAAAAAAAATTCCAGAAAAATTTGCAATGCCCATGCAGCTATAATAAAATAGCTTGACTTATCATTATTTTAATTGATTCCACTTGTGTCACATATTACAATTAAATGCAAATCACTGCTACATCATGCAGAAACCATATTACCACCTGTGTTTTGGTGGATTTCAATATATGTCTTAGGAGGTTGGGGCTAGTTGGCTACAGACTTTCATTTTGTCCATAGCAAGCTGCCATCAATGAATTCAGTCAATCCAGTTTTGAAATGACCCTTAACTGAAATGCACATTCTGGTGTTACCAAAGTGGCAAGAGCACGTGAGATTCCTGGGTGCATAGGTGCAGCCAGATGGCTAGTCTTTACGCCATAACCGGGCCAAGGGGAACCCCCAAAGTATTAGACAATGCCTGGCAGTGAATTCATGTGCGAACAACAAATAGCACTTGGCCTCATTTTTGCAATAAGCTGGGTCACTATTGGGTAAAATTATTTAATTAGCTGCCTGTTTATCTAAAAGAAATCACCATGACACATCGATAATTGTCAAGAGACATGGAAAGAGAGAATTGTTTCTAATAAACAGAACTAGCCTTAGTGGACTAACTCAGCTGATGCACCAAACCAAGGTTTGCTTGGTTTTCCGTAAACTCAGGGGCAAAGAATCTTGCTTATGGCGGACAACTCAGTAGCAGGTGGTGCCACTCTGTTAGCTTTTGTAACAATTGAGACCTTTGTGAATAACTTCCAGCATTTCAAGAACAACACTTGCGGTACTACAATGTCCCTTTTTTTCATGTCAGCTCCATGAAGCCAGTTCATTTCTCAGAACGAACGCAAGACTCATACTAGTACTGTAATACCCAGCTGTGAGAGGCTCAAACTAATTGGTTGCTTAATTATAGCTGAGCTTCATTTATTAATATAAACAACTAACTTAATTCCAAACCAGCATCTACAGGAGGTGTCTTCATGAAAGGAAGTTATAATTTATTAGCAAGCAAAACGTTCTTATAACATTTCAGTACATTTTCTTTGAGAAATATAGACCAAGTCAAAGTTGTGTCTTTGTTGCTATCCTCCTCTTTGTGTGTGTGAGCATGTGGATGCACTGCCGCTTTAATATGTATAACAAACAAAGCACCCAAGCTGGCTTCAGGAAGGAATACTCTGTGGCTGATTACAGCCATATCATCAATAAGTTAATTGAGAAATATGCTGAGTACAATAAACCATTCTTTTAAAAGAATATAAAAAGCCATTCGAGTCAGTAGAGATCATAGCCGTCTTGGGACAGTTATGTTTCCAAGGAGTGCTTGAAGCACATGCCTTTGCCGACTTCTACAAAGACTCCATAGCTACTTTGCTTCTCCGCAACAAAAGCGGAATAAGTGCAATCAAGAAACGGGTCGGGCAAGAAGGTACAGCCTCTGCAAGTGTTGTTCGCTGCATGCTTAGAAGTAGTACTTCAATGATTGCATTGGAAGAAGACACAAAGATTAGTGCAGAACATCTTGGCAACTTGCAGTAATACACTCTTCAGTAACGATGGCTATGAGTGCAAAACATGACTGAAGACTTAGTCAGATGGTACTGGCATACTAGCTGGTTGTATATTACCTTGAGAACAACAGCACTTAACTTCAGAAAACATGAACAAAGGTAGACACAACAGTTTAGCACCTGCCTACTTTTATGTTTGTGCACATGTTTTGAAATTTTACGTTGCTGTACTCAAGACTGGGAAGTCCTGAACTGAGAAGTGAAAAAGACAAAAGAACAGTTCAGTGACCTGAGGAGATCACTTAGAACTTGAGAAAGAGTATGCGTGTCTTGGCCTACTGATGAAATCTACTGAAGAATAAGGATATGTGGATATGACAGACACTCCCAACTGCCAAATTAATGCTGTCCCAAACAGAAAAGCACACCATCACCTAATTTCACCAGTACTTCGTAATACATAAGGCTGAAACTTGTAGGATATCATAGAAAGAGTGTAACCAAAGAAAGAGGACGACAGCCAATTGGAAAGAATATCTTAGCTGGATATCAAGAATAAAACCTGGATTTGGGCAGGGGGAAGAACCAATGTAAGAAAGCTGCCGCCAAGATTGCCAAAGGGGAGCGAGCAATGAAATTAAAAAAAAATTCGCAGACATAAAATGGAATTCTACATGCAACTCTCTCGCCACTATTTATATTCTTATCAACCTTACTTCCATTTCAAAAAGTGACATGCCAGAAAAGCATAAAAAGACTAAATAAAATGCAGCTCAAATAATGAAAGTCTACTTTGCTACTTAGTATCATGATTCGTTTGACGCAGCAGTGGTCTTTACGATTTGCTTTATGTGTAAGGGAAGGTAATGCAACACTTTTGACCAGGCATATGGCAATGAGTGTTCCTAATATCAGCTGTCTTGAGTCAGTGTATCTTTTCTTTGTTGACGATATGGACATCTTCATGGCAGTTTGTTCAAGTTTGCCTTGAGAGTCTAATGCATGCTTCACATTCACTGTATAATCACTGAAACACTGGCACACATTTTCACAGTTTAAATATGTCACTACATTGACAGTGCCTGCACAAGAATTTAAGAGGGCAACTCCAGCAGTGTTTGGACTATGTAAAGGTGAATATTGTTTTCAAATTCCTCTGTTACAACTTTGCACGGAAATAGTGAGCATGAAACGTGACACTAGCTGGATGGCATCAGTGGTGACATCAAGATCACTGAGGAATGAAAGCTCGAAGACTCAACGTTAGGAGTGGGATGTCTTTGGCAGTGTGGCTTCCGTGTAGCCTCTACATGTGAAAAAAGTTGACAAGTGGCAGGCATAGCGAGTGGCAGTGGTGTTCTTCAATAGGCAGCACCGATTGGCTTTCAGCAGGAGATCGAATGCTTGCTGCTTTAGGCAGCTGGTAGGAGGGACTTAACAACAATGGCATCTTCAGATATCTTGCTTAAACAGAATGAGGTTGGAATAGTTTTATCCTGAATGAAGGGGAAAAAAAAAACAAGCACATAATCCCTTTCTATTCAAAGGGTCTTTCAATAAATGTGTCCAAAAATTGTCAGAAATAAGAGAAAAGAAATGCTTGCTTGCTGCCTTCATTATTTGCCCAGTAGCGGCAGACACCTTAAGATGGCTAGATATTAGCTATGGAACTAGCTGAAAAAATTACGTTAGTTCACATTTTATTAGTGGGGAACAGTGAAAGTCAAACGCTAAAATTGGAGCCCCTCCTGCAAAGAGCCCATTGGCAGTTTGAGAATGCAATTCCACATACCAGCTGCTAGGATTCTTGGCAGAGTCTATGATATCCACTATTGGTCGGCTTTGCTTTGTGCGTCTGCGGGCTGCACTTGTATTTACCGCTTGCATGGTGGTTATTGAATGTGGAAGAACTTGCACTACTGCAATCATTAAATAATTGTTGTGAACAGTGCTGCTATTCTGGCGATCTTCTAGTGGTGCTTCAGTTTTGTTGGTGAAAGACCCTGTGTCAACACTCATGCTTGTTTATCACTATTACAGTAAAACCTGCTTACTCGAAGTCACTGGGACTGTGAAAAATCTTCAAATTAAGTGAGTTTTCGAATTATCGAAACATACAAAAAGTGGAATGCAAGGAGTTTTGAATTATTGAAAGTATTCAGAAAAAGTCGTTTGTAGTTTTTATTTTATTATTTTTTTATATATAACATACTGCAGACCAGCATTCGGTCCATGCAGGAATTCGGTCCATCTGGCTAGTTTGCAGCTCCGAGGGTTATATTTTGCCCACAATACCTGGACGAAATTTTGCCACAAACACGGGTAAATGGCCGACACCACTGCTGCCAGTGAAAAAAAAAAGTCCCGTGGTCATCTAAAATGTGCACCTGTAGAAAAAAAAGACATGCTTTTTTGCAACACAGTCATGAGACGTGGGCAGCATGCCACCTGCTTCTTGCAGCGTCAGCACGTCATAATGCGACTGTTTGCACATTCCTTCTAGTGAAATAAATAATTTAATAATGGCCAGTGTGACGGAATTTGCTACATGTTTTGGCTGGAAAACAAGATCGTTGAAGTTTTCGAACTGAGTTTTCAAAGTAGGTGCTACAGGCAGAAATTCCGCCAGCAGTGCAAGTGTGCAAATTGCTGGACCAACCGCCAATCAGAAGTTCGCATACATCATGAACTGCATCAGACTGACATTTGTTAATTTCTTTATAGTTTCAGAAAGAATCATGATGTGCTGACGTTGCGGGAAGCATGCGACGTGCTGCCTGCATGTCAGCTCTGTGGTATAGTAAAGCACATATTCCCGCAGGCGCACATTTAAGTTGATCACAAGACTGCCTAGTTCTTTGGTCGCTAATTTTTAAATTTTTTTAAACATTTGGAAATTGGAATGATTGTAAGCACCATGCATTGCATGCTTCTATTTCGGGACACGCGAGGCTGCACGTTTTGCACAACTGCAACTCTTAAAAAAGGTTGCTTTGGCAATGGTGCGGTACCGCTTACAGTGCGGATATTTGCAACTCCCGTGACTTATGTTATAAGCGGTCTATTCTGTAATACCGTGCTGTAGGCCTAAACAAAAATTGCTTTGATGTCTTTGTATGACAGCGGTGAAAAGGTCAGTATCTGTGTGATGCTTTCGACAAGCGTGGCAAGCACAAAAAGCACTTTTGAGAAAATGGGCCCCTAAGGTTTTGAATGCATATCCTTTTCTTTCTTCTCGACATGTTGTGGTATCAGGCAGCTTTCACTGCAGATGTATTTAAGTACAAGACATGTTGAACTTTATCTTGATGATAGAGTTTTGCAGTCATCACTGGCAACCACTTATGTCAAAGCATTCAATTTTTCTCGTGAAAACCCACACCAGTGCTACAACACAGATGCCTTGCTTGGCATTCTGAGGCTGATGTAGGCTTCACACATTTTTTTTTTCATGTGGCTTGCCCTTCTAAAAGCCACAATCATGCCGTTTTCATTAATGACATGATGTAGCTTCACAACAAGATTAACAGTGTCCTTTACAGCTAGCTTCACTGAACAGTGGAAAAAAAGGCCCGCAGTTTCTTAATGGCAAATGATGCATAATTTCATGCGTGGCACATGGTTTCTTTTACTGCTTCGTTATCATAGTGCAGCCTAAAATTATGATTATTCTTCAATAAGGTGATATCCTCCTGTTCTCTGGTTGGTGCTTGCTGAGCATTGATTGAGAGCTTACAACCGCATTGTGATCTATAAATGCCTAGCAGACAAGAACTTTGCTGGAAGTGATGTTAAAATAGCTGTCATAACAACAACTAATTGGATGGCACCAGTGGGAGTGCTACATGAATTGTAAATTTCATTAAACTGCTCCATTATTTATCATGTCTGCACTCTTAGGCAAAAAGAAGGTAGGAACAAAACGGCAAAACTTAAAGCCTTCGAACATCAAAATGGCAGCACGTGGTGGCTGAAGGTGAGACATATAGTTTCACAAAATGCCCTGTTTTTGGCAATCTGGGCTTCTTTTTGCACTGTCCAGGCTTACAAGTGACTTTTAACAGCAGAGAAGCTTTAAGTGCCGATAGCTCATGCAAAGAATTAACAAAACAATTATCATCATGAACTGGCAGGCATTCTTTTCTTCTTACAGAACACATCCCACAGATCAAACGTGCCAATTTGTCAGTCATGGGATGCAATAACTCCGATGGGCAAGAGATTGAGTATAGAGGGAAGACAGAGAAAAAAACTAGCTAGAAAGAGATAGATAAAAAGAGAAACAGGCACAAGAAAGAGAGAGCAAGAAAGAAATATTAAGAAATATATAGAAACAAATAATGAGAGAAAAAGAAAGGGAGGATGTAAAGAAAAAGAAATAAGTACAGACAGAAACGAGATAGAAAACACAAAGAGAAAGAAAGGCAAGAGAGGAAGAAAGAGAGAGAAATTAAAGAAATAATGCAGGCCCATCAGATTCACTGTTCCTTCAGGTTTGGCACCCATAGTACCCCTGCCCTATGTTATTTTCAGCCACTTGAAGTGCATTTTAAGCATAACCATCTTGATGCAATGTAGATTAGGCATTGCAGATGCTAAAAATGGGTGTTTCTGTTTTTTAAAAATGACATTTAGCAAATTTTGCACACTGATCCTTGTGCCCACACACAAAGATCTGTCCGTACTAGAATAAAACTAAGTATTAATGATATGGTAATCTATGGTCACGGTGCGAAGTAAATTATACAAACCGCTCCATTTTGTTATATATTCAGATACAGTACACTCGCATGACAAGGTAGATAAAGCTAGCTCAAATCAAGCACTGTACATCATCGTCAGCAGCAGCCTACTTTTTGTCCACTGCACGACCAACGCCTCTCTCCATGACCTCCTATGTACCCTGCCTCACATGATTCCATTTTATGCCCGAAAACTTGTCACTTTCTTCAGCCCACTTGACTCACTGCTCTGTTTCTATTAACTTGGTATCCATTCCGTCACTGACCATCTATCCTACATACCATCTGACATACCGAGGTTTCCTTTTTTTTTTTCTTAATGGCAACAAGGTCGAGTTTTTGTGGATGGCGGTGACACGAAGTTTCTCTTTTTACTCAATTCCTTGCACCAACAGCATAAAACAAAATTCCAAAAGTCTGTTGCAGCAGGTATGTAAATTGCAAGTATTGTGAGTGCAACTTGATTTGCGTTGTCGTAGCTCAAGCTTGGCTAGAATAAAGTCCCACCCCTTAAATAGCAACATAGACAATGCTCAATACAAAACTGCTCATTAACATTATCAGTCACCACCTGCATCTCCACGCTCATGTCATGGTTGTGTTAACAAGCACAGCCACCTGAAATGAGAGTGTACCAAACCAACATTGATAGAAGGCAGATGCACTCTGAAAGCAGCTTTGACCTTGAATGCTGCTTCAGAAACTGCACAGCCAGTCTTGCAACATTACAGCTAAGTTGGCACTTTTGCTAGCTGTACATCTGAAAACAGCATCAAGTCAAGTTCTAAGAAGATATCCAAGATGTAAGAAGAAACATTCTAGAAATATTTAGGTAGACTCGACAACTCATATTTGTACCTTATACTGTGCAGCTTCTTTCACCTTGTGCCCTCGCGAAACATTATGAGCAGGATTTTAAGACTGCCACCCAACACACTACGAATGCTGTTGTGTCATCAAGGGAGCAGTGTGCTACACCTTGTACTCGGGAAACTTCTTCTTGGGTCGCATGCGGCGTGGGGGTGGTCCAGGCAGCAGCATGGGTGGTGGTCGAAAAGTTTCCTCCAAGGAGCCGGACTCCTCTGACGGTGGGCTGGGCAGTGCACCGGCTGGAAATGCCAGTGGCAGGGCCTCTTCACTTGCCGAACGCTGACGCCGCGTGGGACCAGTTTGCTGCTGCTGCTGCTGCTCCGTACCCCGCCCAGTGTCCTCGCTCTCCTCGTCGTCTTCATCGTCCTCATCTGGCTGCGCGTACGCATCCTCCAGCAGGTAGCGCAGACCATAAGGCGAGCCCCCGTCCAGGTAGTGCCGGTCTGCCTCAGGCTCACTCAGCCGTTCCGACCCACTCGGCTCCAAAGGACCTGCACAGCACAATGCACTTCTGTCACACAACTGGTATCCACTGAGCACCATCGGTCATGGGCAAAAGAACAAACAAATAGCATTTCTTCTGTACTTTGTGCTGCAGAGGACAGTGGTACTTTGCAGTTTACTTTATGCTGATGGTACCACAGCCACACAACTTCTTCAAAGTACCTCATGATAACTCTGAGGGTGACAAAGACTGCAGTGATGTATTGAATTTTCAGTCCAAAATGATGCATCGATTCACTATCCTCAAAGATTTTGTCATAGTCATAGCTAGGTTTTAGAATACACTTTTGAAACAGGTACAATTCAAGAACCATGCTTGAAAACCACCAAAAAAAATGTGTGCTTTTAAGGCCCTCAATAGTCCTGGAATAATTGTTACTTTTGGGAAAGCAGTTAAATTTCATACAGGTGGATTCACAACTATTTGACCAGCTTCTGATGGCAGATCAGCACCGACTTGGCAAACTTCTAATTTTGCTTGGCGAACCCCCAATGTTTGCCCATACATGGCTGAACATTGCAAATGATGTAGGAGCGTGCCCATATTTTAGAGCTACCAGTTTTCCAAAAGAAAAAATGCATGATGAAATATGCAAAACAAACACTTACTTTGTCAAGGGAGCAGGAGAGAGCTGCACCAGCAAGCCATCATTTTTATTCACTGATGCTGAGATTGGATATTTATATTTTCATCGACTGCCTTATGCAATATGACTTCACGACTGGCTTACACAGATTTATTCGTGGTAAGGGTGCCTGCTTTTCATAGTTAGCTTGTTGATTGTTAATCTTCTTGCTGATTGTTAATCTAACTTTGTTATAGGTCTGCTTCTATATGGTTGTATCAAGACAGAAATATATGACAGCTACATCTTACCAGTACTTACCTACAGAGCAAAACCTTGAGCCTTGCAAAGAGGGTTCAACTTAAATTGAGGATGATGCAGCGAGAAATGGAGAGGAAAATAGAGACAAAATAGGTGTTACAGATATTTTAATCTAGAAGAAACAGGCATGGGCAGGACATGTGGAAAGTGGGCAAGATAACTGCCGGTAATAAAGGTGACTGATTGGATTCCTAGAGAGGGCAATCACATGAGGGGAAGACAGAAAGTTAGGTGGGCAGATGTGTTTAAAAAGTTCGGGAGTATAGCATGGCAGCAGCAAGCTGGCCGCTCATTACAAAAGGCACACACATTATTGCGTGTAGTTCCTAAATACCATGCAGTTGGTGCATCAAGTTCAAAAATATTTCACGTGCATAATTGCTCGTGGTTTAAAGTATGCTACCCATTACACAGAACGCAGTCATATGCAGAAGTTTCACTGACACAAACTGCTCTCACGTTAATCAGTTACATTCAAGTAATCTACAATTTAAACTTCTCAAGTAACATCATACAATAAAGAGTATGCACTAAGTGGTTGAAGTATGCACAAGGGACAGGACATTGCTATCACATTCAACTTTTAAAAGGTTCCCCCAATTTTTGTGACCAAAAAGTGCACTGTTTCTTGATTAAGTTCAGAAATTGCTGAAGTGGCAGAAAAGTATGTTTTATGGCAAGAATTTTTTTTCCTGGCAAACAGTATCCTTTTATGTTTGCAAAGCTCAATTCAAGCTCATTATTTGTCTAAAACATGCATCTAAAAAACTGTTATCAAAATGGGAAAGGTTCCTGACAAGACATGTATTGGGGCAAGTTGGTTCATACTTGATGGGAAACTAATCAGTACGAAGAAACAGGGACTAAACTCATGACAAAGAGATTAACTAAGGAAGCAGGTTTGGGAGAACAGAGTGATTAGTACCGGGCTCAAGCTGTCGCAGCAGGTCTTCCAGATTACGGATACGGATGGGCTCAGCAGGATCGGCCATGCAAGGCTCGGGACGTGGTAGGTCCCGCCTAGAATCCTGTCCTGGGCTCGCGTGTGACGAGGCTGAGTGCAGCGCCTCCAGGATCTCCTCGTGGTAGCCATTGAGGCTCTTGAGCGTGCGCTCAACCTCACTCAGCGTGTCACCCCCTGTGGCGGAGGCCAGTGGTGGCCAGCCTCCATCCTTGGCCAGGTCTTTAGGTGAAAGCTCCATGAACGTCTCGTCCGCTTCATCTGGCTCCTTCCGCTTCAGCTCCTGTAGCTTGTCTTCCCTGTATTGCAATGACACAAATCTCTCTTTAGATTGTCATCTGAATGCCTTGGCTGAAAGCTTCACAGACACATTTTTGCAAGCACCACAATAAATAACTTGAGATAAGTCACAGTTTGAGTCAAACAAAAAACAGCTGGCATGAGGTATTTATTAATACTTGCTAACAAAAAAATGATACATTACCTTGTGGGATAGTTGTAGCTAAAGCCCCCCCATGCATTTTCTGCTGGCTAGGTTAAATAGCGCCAACTCGTTCTCCTCCCTTTACTTCAGTCCTCGGACCAGCAGAAGTGGAGGTGCCACCATGATGTTTCTGCTGCTTTTCCAGTTCATGGCCCCACCCCAAGGATAGAGTGGAGTAAGGAATGCTCACATCACCTGACGCGCCCACCCTGCCTCACTCATGCTGTCCCACCGCTCGGCTGCCGACCCCGTTGAAAACTCACTTCTGCATGCACTGGCCTGAAACTTGCCGCGGTCATGACACTAGGCGAACTGCTGAAGGGTCACAGGTCTGATTGTTATGGCTGCTGCGGAAGTTCTAGTGACAGTGCCTGCCACTCTATTAGTGCACGGAGCAATACACGGACAGTTTCACACGCACAAATCTGTATGTTAAATTTAACAAGAACCCTTCTGATGTATAAAACTGCTCAGATAGCTATGCAAGTGAGCGTCCTGCTCTTGTTCACTTGCTCGCTGTTGGTGGCGCTTCCAACTTATGTAAGCTATTTAGTGCATACAAGTACTGATTTTGTAGTGGTTGACTAATGTGTAAAGTTGTACACTTACATGGTGTACGACGGCATACATAATGCCACGTCCTTAGGAATTCATTTAATGCAAGAAATTTCTCGATCACTTTTTGTATATCTTTATTTTCGAGGTATTTTACATTTATGCATAATAGTAACAAAATATAAGTGCTCTGCACTGGATAAACATGAGCACTGAAGACAGCAGAAAACAGGTATTGAGAAGCACTACACTGCTCATATGTTCTGTCCCGAGTGGCAGAAGAAATGAACTATCTAGAACAGGCATGTTGAAAATGGGGCATTAAAACTGTTCAGGAGTTCCATTAGGTCATTACTGAAACAAAGGCAGTGAGACAAACATGTTTCCGAGAAAAACAAGCACAGGCGATGGCAACGACAACAGAACCATTGCGCATTCAGAATGGGGCAGATGCATAATGAAGAAGTAGGCGCTGTGACGATGATGACATGTGGCCCATACGAAGCTTACATTTTTACACTGCTACAAGTATCACACGCAACTACTAAAACATGTCAGTAAAGATTTTAGCGAAGATGTACGCAAAAAAAAAAACCCTCTAATTTAGAGGTTCTCAGTCATGAATGTGTCGGCGACCCCTCGTAGACTGGTGGAAGTGATGGGGAACCCCTTGTAGCGAAGGGGAGGAAAGGGGGGGGTACATAGGTAAATTAACACAACTAGAGCTTGAAACAGGTGTCTTTTATTGCTACCAAGAACATCAAACAAACGTGCCACATCACCTTATTTTGGACAGTTCATCAATACATGGCACGTCACACTTAAATACAAATGCAAGTGAGGGCTTCGCGGACCCTAGGGGGTTCGCTGACCCCCATTTGAGAACCACAGGTCTAATTGATCGTGGGCTTGTCGCCGCTTCTGATATCACAATCTGATCTTATATTGAGATGACTTGTCATTTCATGTTGCTGCATTTTATTGTTGCCTGGATGTGAACATATGATTGTCTTCATTGTCTGTAGCAAGTGAAGTGCTGCATTTCTAAGCACATGGATGATGATACAATACCCAGAATGGAGTGCAGAAACAGTTGGGCATTGCGATAGAAAAAAAAAGAAAAGTAATATGTCAGGCATGTCGAAGCAAAGATTCACTTGCCCCACTTTGCCTGAGAAGGCAAAGGCTCCTGAATTTTTCTGTTAAGTTCTGTGTTAAGTTCTGTTAATTTTCTGTTAAGTTCTGTGTTAAAATTTGAGACATTATTCTGAAAGGTTCAGTGTTCTGAAACTCTTAGTAGTGAAATATTTTTACACTAAATTATATTGAAACAATGTTTATTGGAAAGGGGACCTTTGAAATACTCTCTAATCTGAAAAATATTGCTAATCTGAGGTTCACTATAACAAGCTTTGAGTGCGACTGGTAATTTTAATCATTCAAGTTTGCCAGAAACAATCAGGAACTGTCTTTTTTTTCTTCATTGATTAGACACACAGGGAGTAAATGTTCTGTACTCTTTTACTCCTGCTACCCTAAGTGCAGAGCTTATTGTCATCTCAACTTGCCGGTCAGTCTGTATCAAGAAAGCAATCCTGTAACATGCAGTCCAAATGCACTTGCAGTTTGGGACTGCACAAGAAGCAGCTACTTTGCTATCTAGTAGCCAAGCAACAGTAGAAGAAGAAGCATTACACATTAAAAGACAGTCAATTCATATCGCAGCATATACAGTCCCCATGCGATACCATCAAGGTCGGAATGAAGGAGACATTTCAGAAAGTGTGTGAAAATCGCTGGAAACCAGGCTGAGCTTTTTCTGTGAGCCAAGGTACTAGTGCTGGGAAAAGTATGCTCGACTAATTGTCTACATTATGGAAAAAAGAAAAAATAATTTCACTGTGGTACAGGTGAACAAACGGTGTTCCTGCGTTTATGATATCGAGGCCCTGTAATGAACTACTAGGTAACAAAGCAGTGAATAAAAACTGCACTTGCAGTTGCTTTGTAGGCAAGCTTTCAATAATGCTCCCATTGGAACAATGTTTCATGAAGCCAGCCTTGATGATTTCAAAAATGTTGACAATTGGGATGATGCACTTTTTTCAACTCGGACGACTAGCATTGCATAGAAGAAAGAAAGAAGAAATCCTCTAGGAGCAGCAGCAGCAGCCATACCTGTAGGAAGGCATGCTCCCAAAGGTGATGATGCGGCTGTCCAGGGTGGTCGAGGCATGGTGTCCGGGAGCGTCTTCATGCTCTTTCTTGGCTGCAGTCATTGGTGCCTTGTGTCGGGTTGAGCCTTTCTTGGGCGCCCCTGGGGCCTGCTCTAGCTTGGGCATGGTACTCCGCCTGTAGAGTTCCCAATTGTAACACCCGTTCTTCCATCAATTAGACATCACGAGTATAGACAAGAGTCCTTATATCAACTGCTATACCCTCAGTGTGTTACTCAGAAAATGGCAAGAAGGGGAAGATGGAAGCTTGAGATGAAGAAATCTGTAAACAGGGGCTGGCGTGCTTGAGACAACGTCTTGACGGGTGAACCTGTCTTCCTCAAGACTAGCCTTGAGGAAGAAAAGTACACTAGTCGAAACGTCGGCTCGAGCAAACAACCCTTTTTACGGATTTTTTTTTTTTCATCTGCCACTGTTCCTGCTGCTCTAACACCCACAGCATGCTGCTTCCTTACTGGCAAGATGTTTGTGACAACAATATGCTGTTAAAAACGTTCTATAAAAGAGCCACTATGCTCGGGGACAACTTTCTGTGGCAATGCAGTCAAGGCTACAGAGCCGAACAACGTCGTCTCTGATCGTTTTGCTGCACAGCTGGAAGTATTCCCACCGAAAAATAGTTTTTGTGCGTACCTAAGCATTTCAAAAATGTGCAGTTTTTAATTTTTTGTTTCAGATTGATAATGGCACAAAATTATTAGTGATATTAAGCAAAACAGCCTCAATTTTAAATTTTCCGGGCTTTTTTTGGCTGTGGCATTTTCCACCGACACTGTACTGGTTCACTACAGAAAAAAAAAACAAAAAACAATTCACTCGCATGTGCCACCATGCACAGACTGAACCATGTGCATGGTGAACGATGCAGGCACTCACTGCGCAGATGCAGATGATGCCGGCCCTTCAATGCTTTAATATAATGAATACATTATCTTTATGTGCTTGCACATTTAAAATGAGCTGTACCAAGCAATCCCCACCTCTGCCCATAAACTAGAAAGTTAAGCCTCACGCACATTCATTTCTGCATTCACTGCTTTTAACTTGCACTACATTGAAATGAGTTTGAAATGAGTTTCACTACATTGAATGAGTTTTCAACTTATTATCTGTGACTAGACAGAACTATTTCTGGGTAGGAATCTACACAATTGATGATTAACACCACTGCATATGCCCGTTCGACATCCAAGGTAAGTACACAGTGCTGCTCTCAAAGAAGCCGCAACACTTTATTGCTTGCGGCAACACCAAAACGTGGTACAGCACTCGCTGCAGAAGGGCGGTGGGAAAGCAAACGAGGCTTATCCACCCCACGAGCGAAAGCACAACACAAAGGGTGCCGCGAGCATGTCGCCATTTCTCTCAGCGGCCTGTCACCATGAGCCCTACGTGTCACCGTGAATGTGGGTTCACGGTGAGATTCCACTGAGGGCAACGGGTCCTCGCGACTACGCTGCACGCTCTCATGATCAGTGACAACAGGACCTGATCATTCGAGTGAGGGCAAGCTCCACTCACGTTGGCTTTGGGAGGTACGGTTCTGTATAGTATGACCACGTGTTAACACACCGCACCGCTCTTCGGCCTAGCGTTCAGAAGGGGCAACGAACGTTAAGTATTCACTGCGGGTGCAAGGCACCGTTGGCGAGTCCGAGCAAGCTCCAAGAACAATGGAGCTGACAGACGGGAAAGAAGAGGTGTGCTCATCCTTCGCTGTCCAGAGTTTCTCTACCTGTCGCCGGCAGCGTGCGCGAAACATCTCGTGAGACTCAAGCGCAGTACCACCGTCTACATCCGGTATAGATCTAGTGCCAGGTGAGAGGGGTTAACGTGACTCCCGCTCTCCCAGTGCTGACGGACCACGGAGGAGGGGACAGTCATGTTAGGACATGAGAACAGCAGAAATAGGTGAAAAAACGTGCGCAATAGTGGTGGGCTAGCCTGAATTCCCACAAGAACAAGGGGTGAACTGCCAGTTACTGCACTTTAATTCCCAGTCCTTAAACTTATTGCTTCTTGCACGCCTTCAAGTTCCAGTCATCCTCAATATCACTGAAGCTTTTCAAATAAGAGAATTGAGCTCCTTCGACCACAATGCCGATGCAAGCTTTGTAGCAAGGTAAAAGGTTGGTTACTGGCGACAGCAAAGGCGTTCCATATTCATAACTGCACGGGTACACTTCTACAACACCGGCTATGGAAGCCATAATCTCAGCACTGATGCAACTAGAAACAGCTACTTCGTCATCTGCACCGATGAAATCGCTCACTGTTCGAGATGGTGCCAAGGAACACTGATAAGTCGCAGAATTCACTGAGGCACCAAACGTCCTTTTCAGCAGTCACGATGCACCTGAAGTCATCACCTGGCCCGCAAAAAAAGTTTATAACAATGCTTTACTTGATTTCGCTCCAAGCACCAGTCATAATTCTTATCGCTATGTTCGGGTCAACATTTGGTTTAACTCCCGAATCAGGATTTATCAGGAACGATGTGAGAACTACACAAGTTCACAAGACGTAAAAATAAAACGCCGAGTTTCCACCGTCAACATGCCGGAAATATCGATATCACTTGTGGCTTTGGAAGTAAAAACAGTGCATGAATATAGACAAGGACAGAGGAAGAGACGACACCTTGTCCTTGTCTATAGCCGTGCGCTGTTTTTACTTCCTAAGTATGAACCAGCAACTAGCCCAACTTTCACTATTATTGTCACTTGTGGCTTTGTAGCTAGTAGCTGCTGCATTCTGCTGGTTTAATGCCAAAAGCTAGAAAAAGCGTAGGCTTCGAGACATGCCCTTTAATACCAAAAACACTAAATATATGCCATGAGGTACCACATCTCGAAGGCCATGCTTTTCAGGCTTGCATGCCATTAAGCACTAACACAAAAGAGAATGCGAACATTGCAATAAGATCGTCGAGTCACTTGGCATTCTCATTTTGGTGTCTTTGGCAATCGGTCTTTTTAAAAATACTATGCCCACACATTAAGACCTGATGATCGCGCATCAAACATACCGGTGCACTTGCGGTGTACTCGCAAGCGCCATGCAATGAACCACATTAGTGCGGTGGAATGACACCCCCTTTACGTCACCTGCGAGCGCAAAGGGATCGAAACTTGTTAGAACACGGCTGAGAGTTGATCAATATTTGCTAGAAAAAATGCATTTTCTGGTCCTTGGCCTGGTGCAGTGTTCGATATCGCGGATGGCTCGCTGTGCGGGAGTTCGATATACAGATGCACTGGTACCATACTTTTGCATGGGAAATTCAAGGGTATATTTTAATTGTTTGATATAGCCAATAATTCGATATATCAAGTTTTAAATATCCGAAATCAACTGTACTGGCCATTACACGGGGGTTGGAAAGCACCGAAAGAGATGGGTATGCAAGGAAGTGAAGGCAGTTCCATTGAGTATAAAGTGAACTTGCCTGTAGCAAGTGGCCAGGAGGGCAAAGAAGATGAAGACGCCACCAACCACTGACACGAGGACAATCACCAGCGAAGGAGTGCTCAAAGCATCCTTCCTGCCCACTGCGCGACACAAATGCATTTTTAAGTTAAAAAAAAAAAAACATCTGTTCAGGATGAAATGTGACAAAGAAAAGCACAGTGACAAACTAAAGTTTAATAGAAATGATGGCTTCCCTGCCTTAATCGCAAGGTGGCGAATCAACTAGAGGTATCTTTTATAAACAGACAGACAGCAATTTTTTCTCTGCCAGGTTTTTATGTCGCAAGATAAAGCTCACCCTTTGTAGAGTTTGTAGCTGGAGCAGCTGCTCCCAAATATGCGTGGTTATATTATAAGCAGTAGTTTTCTATCTGCACTATACGTAGATGTTGTTCAGCAATGCAGTAAAGCAACAGCGAAGCCGATAGCCCTCTTCTCATTATGCTCAAGGTTCTGCTTTCACAGGAGTGGATGAAACTGGTTAACCACCTCCATTTTGATATTTTCAACCGTTTTGGAATATAAAAAGCAGGTAGATTAAGTTTTCCCAACACTCGTAGTCACGTGAAGTTCCTTTATCACCTTGCAAGCTAGGAGTTCGTGGCCTTCACAATCAGTTCTGGCAACGTGTTGTTGGTGACTTTTTTTAGGCCGTGAGGCGCTATTCACACTTTTCCAACACGCCAACAGGTGCGACTAGGCCCCAAGTTAACGCTATTCACGCTACCGGTCATGAGCACTGGGTCATACATTAAACAAAGGTGGCGCCATTATCACCTTGCAAGCTAGGAGTTCGTTGTTCTAGTCAGTGCAAACTAATGCATATCTGCAAGCTTCTCATTTAAGACTATAATGAAAAATTTGTGCTGAATTTCAACACTAATATAGAGAGAAGTAATAGTCTACAGCAGTAAAAGGTCATGTGATAAGTACAAGTGCACATTTACTTTTCTGCCACCAGAGGTGCCAAGCGTTAAAAATATTTCTGAATGAAGAAACATGATTGATTGATATGTGGGGTTTAACGTCCCAGAACCACCATACGATTATGAGAGATGCCGTAGTGAAGGGCTCCGAAAATTTCAACCACCTGGGGTTCTTTAACGTGCACCCAAATCTGAGCACATGGGCCTACAACATTTCCGCCTCCATCAGAAATGCATCCACCACAGCCGGGATTCGATCCCTTGACCTGCGGGTCAGCAGCCGAGTACCTTAGCCACTAGACCACTGCGGCGGGGCGAGTGAAGAAACAAAACATAAATTTATGTTTAATGACAAAAACAGGGTTAATTTTAGACAATATAAAGCAGACAGTCTTTCTGCTAATGGGGTAATCTCAATTCGTGTTCAGAGCGGTTGTCGGTGCCTTTAAATAGGAAGATGGTGCAAGTATCGCCCAAAGGATGAGGGTGGGTATTTCTTCATTAAATTAATCTTGACAGGACAAGAGACACAGGGGTGATTTCCACAGCTTTTGATGGAACTTAGTTTTTTCCACATTATTCTGACATAATCTTTTGCAACCTGCATAGAAAATCTCTTGTACAGAGCCCAAGCAAATGGCTTCATTTGATAGCCTGTCTATGCCTTTACAAAGTGAATGCTTTGAAGGTGGCATGACACCCAATTTTTTATCATAATTTATGTTATGTGGGTAAATCCATGAGCATCCACAAATAATACGGCGAAATTTTAGTCTGTTTGATTGAGCACTGAATATATTATTGAATATTTTTACAAACACATGAGCAGCCTGATGAGAGTCGGGCAACACAGGCACCCTCTCAAGCCCAGACTTACAGGGCCCCTCACCAGGTTTAACAATTGTGAGCTGATGAGCACGCAATGCATATAAAACGTTCACGATCACGTCATGCTAAAATTTACTACGCTATGTCCGCAGAAATGGGTCAAATTTCAAGACGAATGCTACTTTCCCTTCCATCCCCGGTGCACACCCAGAAAATAGGGCATGATGTAGACAGTAGAGAATTGCCCTACATATACTGTAGTGCTGTGATGTCAGTCCTCTACATAGAAGATGACTGTACTCTGACGTCACCAGCATTAGCATGTGACACGACATACATGTGTAGTCTGTGTAATTTGTTGCTTCAATACTATATTAATAAAACTTGAGATAAATAATGAGACACAAAAAGGGAATATGCACATCTTTTTCATTTTTTTCCCGTGATTTGCAACGAGGTGCGGGGCTAATGTGACTGTGTTTCACATGCATTCGTGTCCCTGTGGTTAGGGCATGAAGCAGACACCAGCCCTGGAAATGAAATTAATGGTCCTGTGCATTTGAGCACTCAATATGCTCATCTATTGTACCGCATCTAAGCCAGCGTTTCCTAACGAGCGTGCACCGAGGCATCCATCCGGCAGAAACAGGCTGTAGACCACAAAATAACACTTGTCAGCAAAACCAACACCACTCGAGAGCTTGGGGTTGGGCTTGATTGGAGACGTCATGTGCAGGTGACCGTTTTCTTGGATACAGGTGAGAATAGGGAAGAAATTTGGCTTGCGAAGGCTATGTGGGGCAAGCAGCAAGGGTTTCGAGCTCGTCTGCTCTCATCCTGGTTTCACACTGCTTCAATATAACAGATTGAAAAATTCTGGGGGCATAATGCTCTTCTTCGAACACACAACAACTGCCACCGTCTAACTAGAGTTTGTTATGGGGCCTGGTGAGGGGCCTTTTTAAAAGCAGCTGGCTGTGTGAGCATCTGCATTCCGATAAAAAATATTGTTATGTCATTATGCCAAGACATACACCTATATGCTGGCTTTCCTCACCAACCGCACTGCCATTGTAGGGATTGCCAATATCAGGAGCGAGCTTTTTCAACTCCCTAACAAAGGCACACCGCAGGGCTCAGTGATATCACCAGTGCTTTTCAACTTGGCCCTCCTTAAGCTCCCACGTCTCTTGGTCACTGTCCCTGGGATACAGCACGCATTATACGCCGATGATATCACTATGTGGACAAGAGGTTCAAGCACGGGTGAACAGGAGGACCGACTTCAAGAGGCGGTTAACATCACTGAAGGATATTTCAAGACCTGGGGCCTCCAATGTGCTCCGGAAAAGTCGGAACTGTTAGTACTTGCAGCACGCACCCGGGGTAGACCACCAAGCTACGACACTCCTGACCCACAAGTCTTTCTACAGGGAGTCCAAATACCGCAAGTTGACACGCTTCGAGTCCTTGGACTACACATACATAAAGATGGGTCTGGCTCCGCTGCCCTACCCCGACTGCAGAACACTGTGACGCAGCTCACCCACCTAATCTGAAGGGTGGCTAATCGCCGCAGTGGCTTCAAAGAGCACGACACCCTAAAAATGGTACAAGCTCTCCTTTACAGCCGCATAACGTACGGAACTCCCTACCTCAACCTGAAGACAGCGGAAAAACAACAACTTAATCTGCTGATACGAAAGGCTACAAAGCTTGCCCTAGGACTGCCGCCAGCCGCCTCCACTGACCGACTGCTTCGCATGGGAGTTCATAATACGTGGGAAGAACTCACCGAAGCACACCTTATCGACCAGGTCGAGAGACTCAAGCTGTCACTCACAGGGCAAGCTGTCCTTCGACGCACAGGATACCAGACCACCCAGAACCCAATGAAGAAGGCAAAGGCAAAATACCGTTACAGCTGCGAGAAAGCCTTGAAATTCAGCAGATCCCTCGGAACATGCACCCTCAACATCACCGAGAAAGGCGGCTCGCCAGGGTTAACATGATCCGGAAAAAGTATGGCAATGACCCGCAGGCGCGATACGTGGACGCAGCCAAATATCCGGGACGTAATGCCTTCGCGATTACCGTCGCAGATTACAAGGGTGCGGTACTGGCATTGGCGACTATCCTCGCCAAACGTGTGGAAACAGCTGAAGAGGCTGCTATAGCACTCGCCACCCAGACAAGTGAGGATCCCATCGTGGTCTTTACCGATTCACAAACAGCGGCATGGAACTACCTGAAAGGCAGGGTCTCCACAGTGGCAATTAGACTACTAAAGCGCATGGACAACCCTCCTCCCTACACATGCATCGTGTGGATTCCGGATCATGAAGGTCCCGAGGGAAATGAAGTGGCAAACACCGCAGCCCGCGAATGCGTCAACCGGGCATTCCCATACGAGATCCGAGGCACCTCTCACTCAACTACAGAATCAGAGGCAAGAGAAACCATACCACTAACGTACAATGCATTACTGCAACATTATCGGCTCGAACGCAGGTTATACCCTCCGCCACATCAAAAACTCACAAGAGACGAAGGAACTGACTGTAGGCGTCTTCAAAGCAACACGTTCACCCACGGCGTACTATTGCACCCTATGAGGCCAACAATGCACAGCTACATCTGCCCTCACTGCAATGTGGCAGACACTCTGGCGCACCTCCTACTGCAGTGCAAAGTAAGCGTCCCAAGACTATGAGCAGCAGCACCAGATACGGACCAAGACCTCCTCAGTGAGGCGTGGGAGGCTGCGATATCTCAGCCGGACCTGGTCGAGCAACGTCAACTCGTCGCTCGAGCTCGGTGGGCTGTCCAAGACAGAGGGTTCCTGGAATAAGGGACCCTCCCACCTTCACTCACAAGCTTGTTTCAATAAATGTTTTCTCTCTCTCTTCCGTCATCAGTTGCACGTGAAATCTAAATATTACAGATTTCTTCTGCTTAGCAATGAAACTTAGCAATTTACAGTGCTAGAAAGTGTGGTAGATGATGATGGCATCGTTCCTTGCTGTGCATGATCTCAGAGGTGCCATGGCAAAATGGTGGTTGCTGGGGATGGCAGGGATTAACAGGCAGCAACGTTTAGTGCATTTTAAGCACTGAAATATTCTTTTACAGCCCATTTTTCATATCTGTGCAGGCATAACAGATCATCTACTTTTTGTTTTTGCCCCAAACCACAAATTGTTGGGTGACCGTTTCATGGCCCTTTAATTCACGCAAAGGAATGTAAACAACTTTAACACTGTAGTGATGCAGTTTGTGTGACATGGTCTCGATCATTCCTGATGTGTAAGGAACGGTTTTTTTATGTCTGGCACAGGCAAGCCTAGGCTTGGAGGAGGCAGACAAACAGGGCTCTACTGTATTAATGAACACCAGCCAGTAACTGCACATAACATACACTTATGTTGCACACTTCACATCCTAGCAGCTGCAAAACCACATGAACATTGAAGAGACTACCATAAAATCCCGAGCAAGCACCCCACTACAGTGAGAAATGATTTGACTAGATTTCAAGGGAAGCGCTTGCTCTGTCATGGATCAGAATTCAAGATGGCAGTGGAAAAGCTGCCACAAATAAAGCACACTCGTGCTTCTAACGAAGTGATTTACTGAATATGCGTGTTGTTTTCACTCAGCCTCGTTGAGCAAATGTAAAATAAACATTGAATGAAACAGTGAAAATGGTGTTACGGGGATGGCGGCCACATATTTGAAATCTTGCAGAGAAGAGACGGGGGCACTTGCTCCAGCTTCAACAATAGGCGATATCCTACAGGCGTGTCAGAGCAAAGCAGCCTCTACACGCTATGGAACACTATAAACTATAATGTTATTGAAGATGCATTTGCTCACAGTTATCAATATGTGAGCATTAATGAGCTACAAAAAGAAAGAATCAATTGTGTCTGCTTAACTCTCCACATTTTTATTGCTACTGCCTATAACGAGCTCACCAGTGCATCCACTGCAGTCGCTTTACATGAAGAATTGGTTTACAGTGCTTACACTTCCTCACATCTTCCTGCAAGAATGTCATCACTGAAAACAATCAAAAGATCTCAAACACTGCTAACAGAAAATGATGCGAAAGAAAGTATAGGAGATGTTAAATATAGTATTATGGTAGAAATGTAGAAAATTAGCATCATTGTCTGTTTGAATTAATATTGTGTCTAAAAAAAAGAAAACGAGCCCTCGAGTTTACACTTCTTTAAACTTTGAAGGGGCATTTCATGAATTCAAAAGGGACAGACATTTTGGGTTTACTAGCAGGGTGTGACTGTGCTTTAAAATTTTGTATCACTTCTGTGTCATGCACAAAACAGCATCAATGGTCATCCACTTTCCCAATTAGAATGGATCACAATATTTTTCATACTTTCTCAACTATTGGTGAAACACACCATAAGATGTTGTCCTAGAGCTTTTGTTGGACCGGCTTGATGCATCTGTGGCGGTGGGAGGTGTTGGTGGCATGACATCTGTAGCAGGAGGGGGAACCAGCGCAGGCGGGGCCTCGGTGGCATTAGCCCGCTGGCTGCAATCAGGCCCCAGGTAGCCCTCATCACAGTAGCACGTGTTCACATTGGAGCACACCTGCAGCACACGGGATGTCAAGGCACAATCTTGATGTTTGGGTAGTTGCTTCACACTCGCAGTAAAAGAAGCGTCCAGACAAAGAACAACACTTACAAAGGATGTACATACAACCGAAGATGTGTTCAATGGCTGTGCGTAAATAAACAGGAGAAGAAATACAAGGAAGAAAGGAAGGAAAATAACTTTATTTGGTCCTGTGAAACGCTAATATGTGTTCAATGGCTGTGCGTAAATAAACAGGAGAAGAAATACAAGGAAGAAAGGAAGGAAAATAACTTTATTTGGTCCTGTGAAACGCTAATGGGTCAAGCACTCGGCTCAGTCCCATGTAGGGACCGGCAAGCCGAGCCTGGGATATAAAAGAGCATCACATGGTCAAGCTTACCACACATACAAAATGGTTCCTGTAAGAACTCTGGCATCTTTTTCTGGCACAATAATAGACAGCACACTGACATAGGACTCGTCTAATTTTTCACCCAAGCCTTCAAAGCAATATGAAGCCTGTCACAATGCTTCTTACAGCACACTGTTGTCTTATATCTTTCATTTACCACCCTGCGCACTTTTTGTTAGATTGTAGGATGTGGTAAAAATGCCTTTACTCTCACCCTTTTCATTCTTAGTTTATTCTTGTGCTCCCAAAGAGTTGTAATCAGCATTTTGCTTGTTCAGTTTAACCATCTTATCAGCAATAACAGACTGAAGTGCTCGTGGGCACTCCACTGCATCAGTCAGACGATGAACCTGGTCATCAAAGCTCTTTTCGACCCATGAACACATGATTTCATTAAGGCATTTCATTAAGGCATTTCATTAATCCCGAACCTCATACTACTTTGTCAGGCATGACATATTTTCGCAGAACTTACGTTCCAATATAGGCTTGCTGTTGAAGCTTTAAAGCTCTTAGGGACTGCCACCACAGCGCTTAGACTCCTAGGCAAAACAAAATTTCATCTACAGTATTCAAACAATAGAGTTTAAATTTTTTTTCAGTACTTTTAAAAATTGTATAATACTTTATTGATGTAATCTGGACAGTGTGAACTTGAGCGCAGGGATGTAGTGATTGAGTTTTGCAGAATTCCCCAAGATAAGTAAAAAGAAGGCATGCTTACACCATGGCCTGAGCAGGCGAGTGCCAGGTTGTTGCTAGGGCAGACTCCCAGCTCCCGGAAGTGCTCAACTGGAAGGCATGACTTGTTCACACAAATCTGCACACACAGGGAGAAACAGCACCAGGATAACACTGCATACACATGACATCTTCCACAAACTGTCAATGTCCCATTGCAGAACCGATGAAGGCAGCCAGCCTGTAACACTTTATGCCACAACGTCACAAGAAATGATTACATATCTCATTACGAAGAAGAGGCAGATTACCTTGGAAGATCCGCATTTTGTTCCATCCCAAACAATGCCAATGTCCGGAATGTCCCCAGAAAGAGACCCAGTGGATACCCTGTCAAGATCGCAAAACAGACATTCTGCGATAAGTGTGCCTGTGTAGCAACATTAACAAAACCAAATCAGTGACTGCACAATAAGCAATGCCGCAGGGGATGTCATCTCTTGTTTGTGGCTTTGTGTGTGCCTCACTGTGTCTTTGGTTTTCAAGTGTGTCTAAAAATACAGTATGGCAACAAACATGCAGCCAACTCTACCTAAATGTCGTTAATTCGACACAACCTTTCGTGTTGTGGTTACTTGCTGTGGCAACTGCAATCTCAATCATTCTTTCTTTGCTGACTGCATACTCCAATAATTATTAATAATTGCCAAGATTCCACGTGCCAAAACCACAATACAATTGTGAGGCATGTCATAGAGAGAAAGTTTGAAATAATTTTGACCACCTGAGGTCCTTTAATGTGCTCGTGCCTCGCGCAAGGCTGTCAATGTGGCTGCAGCGCTAGGCAATTCTCTTCGCTACAATTTACTCAATGTAAATGCTGTTACTATAAAACCTAAGTAAAAGCAGGTTTTGCAGAAAACATACAGTAGAAAATCATGAACCATTTGTTTGACTTTTTGTATATCTACTGGAATGTATTAACATTCGCTTCCATTGAAATGTCCAATGGTTGGTTTGTTGGAAAATGTGGTTTGCGGTAGGAAAGTAGAAAATAGAAAGGCACAAAAGGACTGCATATCTGCATCTGGCACAACTGCAATACTCTGCAAAACTAGGTACAAGGTGCATAGCTGGGCCATAATTTGTGTATGTTACACGAAGAACGTATTTCTTTTATTTTTTCCCAAAATGCCCTGACATGCAAGTTATAATACTATCAAGCACTGGTCCAGTAGTGTACTCTGCCACAGTGAGTAGGACACACATCGGAGAGATACAGGTTGTAGGACACGAAATATGTAGATATTAAGGTTCCTGTTTGGGCAAGGAAATTGTAATGAATTTGTTTACATCATGTTTACAATATCTGCATGGCACGCAGTGAAGCACTGCACAACATCTTTGTTTGAGTGAACTTAGACAGTGAAAGTCCCAGTCTACAAACCACACTTTCTGCGGGCTGACGTGACTGGTAATATAAATAGTCTAGACATGTGTTGCGTTCCCTGATATCGCAGACCTGGCCTTCATGTAGCACGGGACAGTTGGTGCAGCAGTTATCATCAAAATACGACAGTGTGCTTTACGTTTACTGTGTTCTGGGCTTTAGCACAAAATATGGGCCCACTAGGTCAGTAAGTAGGAGAATCAGTCGAGACACTGGCTTCAAAAAGAAAATGTTCGCCACCTTGTGTTGAACGTAGGAGCTTCTCGTGAGGCATAAGACTTGGCTGAGCCAGGACAGACAAGGTAGTTCATTACCAAAAGCAAAGTGATTTAAAGTAGAAACTGCGGATAAGTGAGTTGTGCAAGGCCACGGGATGAAATTATAAGTCATGGCAATGAGGCCATCGCTATGTTTCTCACATATAAATGTATTTACAAAGGGTTCCTTTAATTTTGCATTTGCAGTAAAGCAGCAATACGGGGCCACACACTTGCACTCAAATTCGGAGCCCTCTATGGAGATGATGGTGCGAGTGTAGAGCTTCTCCATGCCGAGCACAATCGGGGCCCGAGCACCTCGCTGGCACTGCAGGGTGCCGCACATCATGTTATCGCGGCTGCACTTGAGGTAGCCATTCCGTCCGTCTGGACCGCAGTTGCCACTCATGCTGCCTTGCACGTTGAACTCACCAAAGCATTTCTCATCTGAGCGTCGTGCTCCTGCAAATTTAAAGGTGTATCCATTCAGGGCAAGTCAGTCATGACTGCAAAACAAGTACACATTGCAACTGTAGCTATGAGATCAATAAATTTGGACATGGCATGATAACTTCACAAAGCGACAAGACCAAGCAGCTTACTTAGATATGATATTTCTCGTAGGCTGCCAACAATCCAGTTACAGGGGAACACCGTTCATAAATGTTTGCGGGGACCATGCAAAACCATCATACAATATAAAAACTGAGAATGTAGACGATGATGCTAAGTCTTGCTTAAAAAATGGATACAGACCTACCTGAATAATCTCATAGATGGCCCTGCACAATTTCAAGAAGGTCGAATGTATCATTTTTAAAAATATAGCTAAGCATTTAACTGGACAAGGTGTGAGTGAATCTTTCTTCTCAACAGAATCTAATCTAATGTAACTTTTTCTTTATAACTATGAAATGTCCAAAAAATGCCTTGCTATAAAAACAAAACTGAACCACATTGTCTCAATATCATCGCTATGAAATAATGGCGACAGATGGCTTCATTGAGCTTGCTTTAGGATGATTTCGTGCGCAACTGAGCTGTGTGCATTGTACTTGTTCCCGTGTGAAGTGCATATGGTGACGTGTTGCTGTTGTTATGACCTCTCAAATCAAGGAGAATGTTATTCTGCATGCTGAACATAGCTGTGTTGTATCTTTTTTTGCATGCTTGAGGCCTGTGAATATGTGCCAAAAACAAGGGGAGGAGATGTTAGCTGTGTGTCAACCAGGAAATGTTTCCACAGGCTGAAATTGTGAAAATATCCGGATCTCAAAGATGGAGCTTGCGGTCTGCCTGGAGAGTAGACAGCTTATTTCGGTAACAGCCCTGGTATATGCATGCCATCGAGGCATATCCAGTTGTCATCTTAATGCCAGGAAAACTGAATCACAGAAAAAAACTAAATGTCAGGGAGATAAATTTGTCAGGGAGGAATGCATACTGTACCTGTCTCACACTCTTTCTAATTGTCAACCCAGGGTCTCGCGTATGCATTTATTTTGCATCCACAAAAAATGAGTGGGCATTAAATTTCAGCAAAAAAATTTTTTTCCACCTCAGATGGTACTGGAGTCGTGCGATGCCTAGTCCATCACAAGACTGCGTTGTAGAATAGACATTTTCAATAGGTTATTTTTGTGGGTGTTTTGCTAGGAACAATCTGATTTGTTGTAAAATATGGGCTGTCAATGTTAAGCCTTTAAAACTATAGCAACATAATTTCACTGCACTGTTCAATACAATAATCAGTGTCCATGCATATCTGGTCTGCTTGAACAAGGGACCTGATTATAGTAATTTAATCACGATAAACAATAATTTGTCTCTTCCCGTGTCAATCTCCATCTATTTTTTTATGCTCTCACATTTGTGAAGGCAATGTATCAATCAGGGCTATTGTATAGAAAATTTGCCAAGAACAAATTAGTCAGCTCTGTTGCTCTGCGCGGGGACCCGCCGCGCAGAGCAACAGAGAATACGAAAACACCAATCAACCTCAATTGGCAGCCCCCGAAACGCGTACCAATTCCATACGTTCAGGGAACCAGTGAGATGTTGGCGCGGATCTTCGGGAGGGAAGGGGTTCGCATCGCGCACGTGCCTTCGTGAACGCTGGGCCGCCTCCTCCTCCGCCCGAAAGACCGGCCAACAATGAACAGGCGCCCCGGTGTCGTTTATGAAATTCCATGTGCCGAGTGCCCCTCATCGTATATCGGCAAGACGAAAAACCTACCGGAACGACTGAAGCAACACGGCAACGATGTGCAGAATTTCTACAAAGAGTGCAGCGCAGTCGCCGAACATGCTGAGAAGTTGGATCACAAAATAAATTTCTAAGCGACGGCCATCCTTGAAAGCGAGCCAAACTGGAGGAGAAGGTTGTTACTCGAGTCATGGCACATACAGAGGACAGCCCATAATATCAACCGCTCTCTCGGAATCCTTCCCCCAGTGTATTCACACGGACTGTGCTCTACGGCAAAACGAGAGAGAGAGAGAAGGGGGGTCATTAGCCACCCCGCGAGTGCTTTGAAGACGACGCTGCTAGTAGCCTCCGCAGTCACCCCTGAGGAAGGAACCAAGCCGGTCTCTAACCAAGCCGGTTCCGAATGTCGGGTTTCTTCAAAACTTTTGGTTGGAGTCTAAATCATCTCCCAAAAGGCATTGCCGTAATGTGTGCCATCCACTAGATTAATACTGTACTATTCTCAATATGAATGTACTGTAGAATCTCAAAGGAAAGCAGTAAAGGAAACATGGAAGCTTGCGATGAGAAATTTATAAACAGAGGGGTGTTTGCTAGAGCCAAGGTTTCGACAAAGCTGCAACTGATTTTCTAAGCGCTTGTGCGTATGTCTTTCACACACTCACATCAAATCCAAACTAAGGAGGAGGAGAGGGTAACTATGTAAATGGGGGATATTTTTTGTGTTTTGGGGACAGGCACCAAGCACTAAGAAAATCAGCTGCAGCCTTGGAAAAGACAAGTTCACTTCGTCGAAATGTCGGCTCAAGCACACACCCGCTGTTTACGAGTTTTGCATCAATAGAATCTCGATGATACAAATCTTAAGGGGGAACAAAAACTCTTGTATCACCCGAAATTTCATACTAGCAGTTCAAAAAACTCTTCGAACTACTAATGCTATTCAACCTCAGCTAGTCTATAAATTATCTTTGTGTATTGAATAAAAAAAAGATAACCGCAACTGCACAGGAAGTAGTAAAACTAAACTTACCAAACCCCCAGATGAACTCGCACTGTTCATCAGACGTATGACACTTGCCTCGGTAGCAGAAACCACTGCCTTTCTTGCATTCCTGGCCAGCCTTCTTGTAGATGTTGGCTGGACACTGTGCAGCACAAGGGTGTCTCACTCATTGCCAGCACTGATGCACACCTCTCACCAGAAGACTCACCTCGCCAGAGTGGCCATCACAGAACTCAGGAATGTCGCATTCAGACTCGGGAATGCGACAAAGCTGGCCAGCAGCACGCAACTGCATGACAGAAAAATCGGCAAGGCCTGGCTGTATGCGTTGCATACATTTTCAGCCAATCTTATATCCACAGCAGGACGAAGGCCTATCTCCTATGCAAACCATCTTGTGGAAGTTGTGAACTTGTTAATATTGTCACTTCATTCGACTACATCTCTTGATATTCGTTTTGTCACTCTAACTGACCACTGGATATTTGTCCTTATCATGTGATCTGCCGAGGTCCATATTTTTCTCTTAATACTCAACTTATTCAAATCTAGATTGAGAGTCTTTTTTAAATATCCATGTACTAAACTCTAGATTGGCTATGATTTATAAATTAAAGAAAAAACATGCTAATTTATGATTGAAGCCGAGAAAAATATAGTGCACTGCTTACGGTGCTTAGAGAATAATGTTCTGTGGCAGATAATGGCTGCACCAGTCGTCAACAAAGAGAACCACCAGCAGTTATTGTTAACACAAGTTTAGTTACCACAAAGACGTAGTCTCCTCGATTTGGCTAGTCTGTTGGTCCAATGTGTATCCTGCAACTTCATGTGTGTCCAACACCATGCTGTATACTATAACATACAGTCCTCATTTTACAGAGAAAGCTATTATGAGATCACAACAATGGCCATTTCTGGCACTATAGTTTTCCACCGTTGCCACCATTGTTTGTAACTGCTATTGCACAAAATAAGAAAAATCAAAACAAAAAGAAATGTTGGCATTAGTAATGTTGGAATTTTTCCAGCTCACTGGCACTTTTGACATTTGAGGCACTGAGCCCAAATTACTGTGGGTTTTTCTCATATCTCTCCTCTATCTTTTGAACTTCAATGCCTTGTTCTACATTGATTTTCATCAGAGGAAGGTTAACTTAACTGTGAACTGCAGAGTTCAAAATTGTCTTTTGCGAATTTCACTGTCATTGAAATCGTTATAAATTTTGCCCAGCTTATCTTTTAGTGCATGCCATAAAGTGAGACATAAAAAGGATAGAACTACAACAGTAATGATGCAGTACTTGACATGGTGAGTACTACCAATTGTCAATGAAAGGACATGCTTAGCAGATCACTTTACAGAATTTGCATTGCAACAGATTCAAATGAACTGCAAGATAACAAGATGAATCATAAGTTCAGTTCAATAATCGTGCCATGCACCATAATGTAAAATGCTTCGCTCAAGTCCAGTGGCAGCACTGACCTTGCAATTCTCACAGCATGGCCCTGCTGAACAGTTTGCTTCAACACGCAGTTTGCACGTGATCGGGTCGCAGCAGGGGTCAGTCTTTGCACACTCCTTGGATGACACAAAGACATATCTTGAGAAAACTCTTCAGTAGTAATTAAGAAGAAGTGGCAGGTTTCAGAATTCAGAACACTATACCAAACACTGAATAATGCTTGACCACAGCGATGAGCCATGGAGAACTTATGTCACCTTTCCACCTGTCATAATCATGCGTGGATAGTGATTTAACCGTCTACTACCAGGTAAACTAAAACTTTGTGATCTTTACATAGACTTCAATTGCAGTGCCCAATGTTATGTGCAGGGATCTTGAGGCCAAGCCAGCTCATCAAAAAAAAAAAAAAATGAGAGTACATCTGACTGCTTTACTTTGCAAGACAGAAATGTTCTGTTGAACTGGTTCTAATTAAATTGAACTAGTACATTTCCTGACAGCTTAGCTCTGTTAACACAAACAAGTCCTATATTCATGACTCTGAAAATGAAGTGGATCGCTGTCACTACAAATTATGCTAAACAATATGCCATAACCAAGGCTATGCCAGCTAGTTGTGTGAGATGTCGGTGCAAAGCTCAAAGATGAAGCATCAACCTTAATTTTCTCCTCTATTAATAAACCTATGATGGTGAAATTAACAATATTCGAGTTGTCAGAGTACAATTTATCAATTAAAATTGACTCGTTTCACTTCTCTTTCAAAATTATTTTAAAAAATTTCAAAATTTCAGATTCAAGTGGTTGGGCTTACCTCCATAGTGCCACAGTCGCAGTCTTCGTCCTGTTCCTTGATGCCGTTGCCACAGGTGCGGAAGTCTTCGAGCTGTACAAAGAACAAGAGGAAGATGCTGCAGGAAGCCCCTTCATAGTGATAGAGGTAAGCTTATGTGATTTTGCAATGAATTCATGTACATTACTAAATCAATCCAGAACGAATACAGCAGATTGAGGTTTATTATGTGATCAGTGCAATACCAAACAAAATACCGATTTGAAACATACTTGCTTAGGTGAAATAGAAACTTTTTAGTAGACACTGTCGTAGTAAACATACTTTAAATAACTAAAAGCTACACATACTGCATGCGAAGACATCAAGGCTCACAGAAGACACCAAAGCATTTGACAGAAAATAAGCTTAAAGGGGCACTAACAAAAAAAATCAATACTAATACTTAACTATCAGTAAGTTACTATTTCCCAATACCAAAGGTACAGTTCTTGCCGTGGCAAGATTCTCGGTAAGCCAGAAGACTCACGAAAAGGAAATGAAGGTGGATAGCCACCTTGAAGTTCTCGCACCGTTTCTTTAGGACAATAATGAAATAGTCCCATGGGACACAGGTTAAGGCAAGCAACTACAACTTGCTCTGATGTCATAAATCATGAGATCGAAGCAATTTGTAGTTGTTTGCCTTTAGCTGTATCCGCTAACAAACTTCAACGGTGCCTACGAGAGCCCAGATTGATCTTAACCGGTAAAAATGAAGTATATTTCACTCTGAAAGAGCCAGAAACTTAATGCACAGAGTTAGAGGAAATTTAGTTCAGCCAAAGTGACTAAAGTGCCACAAAACATTTTGAAATCTCCGACATTCCACTGAGGTTTGTGTGCAAAGACTGGAATGCAAAATTTAAGAAAGAACCTTCGACCTTTATTTTTACTTAGTTAATTAACCTAAGATGGCGAAATCAACAACAACAAAGTTAGCGCAGAGATGTTTATTTGTCTAAACCGATCGCTTTTTCGCTTTGCAGTCCCTTTAATCCCTTTAAAGGGCCCTTCACCAGGTCTGGCCAATCTGAGCTGACTAGTGCAATGCCTACATTGCAGACTCATGATCATGTCTGCCAATAGCAGCACTATGCTCCGCAGAAAGAGGTGAAATCTAAAGCGAATATTGTCAGCCCTTATTCTCGTGCGGTGCTGCACTTCAAGATGAAGCAAAGACATACACCACCGAGTGCATCTACGTTGATGAAGGTGCTGCACCATGCAGCAAACACCTAGATGTCCTTTTTGCACCTACTCCATGGAGAGTAAGGAGGACATCAAGCCACCCTAGTGAAGCATAAACTCCAAAGAAAGGAGGAGTGTTTGTCTCGTCATGGACATGCATAGTGAAATGCATGCCAATGCGTGTACACCGCGCGATCCTCCAGCTGCATTATGGGAGACCGTAGTGAAGGAGTTTGGCTCGCAAAGACTGGACAGGTTAAAAGGCAAGTGTGTGAAGCTCACCTCCCAACATCACGGCTGCCCACTGTTTTGAAATATTCTTGCATTATAATGACTTGTACCATGCCTATAACAACTTCCAGTGCATAACTAAAATTTGCTATGTGGTCCAGTGAAGGACCCTTTCAAGAAGGAACCCAGCCAATCAAATTAATACTAATCACTGCAACTGTGACCCACTTCAGTTCCAGACAAACAAGAAAGAAAGAAGAAAGGTGCTGCCCAAATTTTGTAGGTGTCGCACAAGACATGCATAAACTTTGTCCTTAAGATGAACATACAGGAGTGCTGACATCATCTTGTTAGAATTCTATTATCACCAGAGTGGGCTGAAGCTCTCAGGATCTCAGAATGTGCTGCTACTGTAGCAGTGGGTGGACAAGTTCACTACCTGCTTCACAGCACGTGAGCCTTATTGTAAAACTTGACATTCAGTTTTCATTTCAACTACAAAAAGAAATAAGTGGGCCAGCATTATTGAATTTTACATGTTGCTGACCAATTTTTAATTCTGAACAACATTAAAAAGTTCCAAAGATTGAGTAATATAAAATCAAAATTAGTAGATTTTGGTCGTGATTCTGCCCGTGATGGTAAAGCTTGCCTATGATAGTAAAGACTGGAATGGCATAAAAGGAGCAAAGGCAAATTGCATTCACAAGGCATGGCATGATTTTTGCAGTGCATAGTGATGCAAACAATTTGGAACTGCCCACATGGCTATTTTATTCAAGTCTCAAAGGCCAATTTGACATGTCAAGACTTGAGTTGCATCCAAAAATGATTTCACATACATACCTCTAGGTCAGATATATCAGTAAAGAAAGATAAATTCATTTTTGTCCCAGTGCGAGCAATACTGTCAGTTTGAGCATATTGTTTTGTTTATTGCTAATGAGAATTCAGTGTTGTCGTCATGGTACAAGATGACCAAGCCCCCTTGCACAGGTTGCTGCTAGTGGGACCTCTCGTGTACAGTGCATGTCTGATCAAGTGACTAGGTGCTGTGGCTCTCTTTGTGCAAATGAAGGAGAGTACAACATATTGGTGCTCAATGAGTTAAATAAGACTAATGATGGTGACATCTTTTCACCTAGCTGCCTGATCTTTTTTGGCAGGACTGAGTCACATGGTTGGGCATACGCCATATCTGTAGAAAGCAGCCGAGAAATGCATTGAATTTTATTTTTGTGTGCGCAAGTATTGTGACAGTTGCTAAAGATTGTGACCATAGTGTCAGCTGTGGATCTTGAGATCACAATGAGCAAATTGAGAAATAAGTGGCAAGGGATGTTGTGAGTGGCCAGGGGAGAAGGAGAGACGCCTACAGAAAAGGAATGTCAATAAGCTTGATTAAAGGGCATTAGAGATGATAATAATGAACTGTGGCTTTACTACTGCAAGACCCTGGCTCAATGTTGCTTAAATATATTTTCTATTCTAGATCTTCAGCAGTGTTCAAGCATTATAAAAGCAACATAAAATCTCACTACGTAACACCAGTACTACACACAACAGATTGCAAGCCTTGCCTTGCAGACATGCCTATTGCCATCCCAGGATTTCTGGGCTTTATGGACAAATGTTTAAAATTCCAATAAAACTGTGCAAAATTGTCCAATTGTAAACAAAAAGCACCAGAATGACATTTTTTTCGAACTTTATGCGTAAGAGTTATCACCATAAAAAAGGGTAAACCCGAACAAAGTGGAACAGTTCTGCTGTGTCTGTGTTCGCTCTCTTACATGATGAATATTTACCAACTAGCTTTCAGCATCAGGCTGATCACCAGTAGACTACTTAAACTAGACCAATTTTTTTTTTTGCAAAAATCAGAACTGCAGCCAATGTAGGTGCAGTATTTCCTGTAACTTGCTTAAATATTATGCATGAAATCAAAAGTTGGCAAAAAGAAGGTGATTAGAAGTGGGATACAATATGAAATTTACTGCATTCAAATGATGATTAATTTCTGATATCATTAAAGAACAGACGGAAAGTAAAGCAAGTGTATCGCAAAATTTACCCAGCAACATCTGACAACAAATTCCCGCTATGCGGAGGATACCAAACACTATCACATAACATGGGCCTACCAACACTCGAAGGTAGTGAAGACCATAACCAATGGGAGGCTGCGCTATACAGCTCGTAGCCTGATCAACAGTTCAACCTGATCGACAAAGCTCGCTAAATTGTTCAGTTTCTAAGCATACGATCAGCATGGTACTGATTGAAAACAACATTGAATTTCCTTGACTATCGTTTTATGTTTCCTCTTTGCCTAAGTATTATCTGATGCTTTTTTTGTGTGTGTTCTTTATGTGTTATGTTTGTTGTTATGTTTTGTAATAGCGATGAGAAATCTCAACTAATGTCTAATTGGTATGTAAAACATTCGATTGTTATGTATATATTTGCTTACTAGAAATAACACTCTATTACTGTTGTATGTGTTACAGTATTTGCACATGTACTTTTGTATTTTTTGTACATTCTGTATCCTGCAAAATTCTTATGACATCCTGCCTGTCTCACTGCATTTGGAGCAAAGGCCCTTAGTCAGGCTTTTAGTCTTTTGCCTTTGCTCCATTTTCTGTACTGGCACAGAAATAAATAAATAAATAAATAAATAAATAAATAAATAAATAAATAAATAAATAAATAAAGAAAGAAAGAAAGGCCACAGGAGCCCTGGACTTTCGCCAGGAGATTTTCTTTGCAAGAATGAAATTTTTCATTCATTGACTGATTCTACACTTTAATATTATTAATTTCCGATGACTGTATAAAAATTTTTTGAACTAGCCAAAAACAACTGGCTTTTTGATGGTCATCATCAAAATCGTGAAGCTGTTTTGCTCCACTGCAGTATGATGGCCTCTCCCAATAATCTCAAGTTTAACCTATCCTGTGCCAGCTGATTCCATTTTATCCCTGTAAACTTTTTAATTTGCTCACTTTACCTCCATCACAAAAGTGCTATATATGAAATAATAACACCTGCTTCAACACCTCGTTTCCAAAAAAGCCACAATGTACTACCCAGCAGACGTCAGACAATTCCAGATGGTTGTATTGTACCCATCTACAACTGTGTTTTTTGCATGGAAAGCCAACCTGTGAATGGATATCGGAACTAGCTGCCAAGTCCGATTTACACGGTTTAGACAGAGCATGACAGAAGCAAGAGTGCCTTTTTTTATTAAGTTAGTTTATGCCGATTAAGTTAGTTTATTAAGTTAGTTTACTAGGTTTACTTATAATACTGGGCATAAGCATAAGTCGGTGAACTTATTCATGAAGGGACTCACTCGGACACAGATCTAGCCACGAGTCTGAATTTGAGTGAGCCCAGGTGAGTAATATTTTGGTGAGTGTGAGTCCAAGTGAGTTCAGTAGAAGAAAATTTACGTGAGTGCGAGTCAAAGTGAGTACAAAGTGCAAGATGTCTTCCTTGAGTGCGTCTGAATGAGCTCCACTTTTTTTGACGACCTATTGTCCGATCTGTTCATCCTCAGCATTGCTATCGGCCTTGCCTGAATCCATGTTTATCCTCACGTCTACTCAAACAAATTGCATAGAGGGGTGCCTCTACCTTCCCCCCACCTACCAGCTCTTCCAGGAAAGCTCTAGGTAAATTTATCGCATTTTGTCATCTCTTTAAAGAAAAATGTCCATACTGTTTTGCAACCACTGATAACTCGTATTAAAAGGTACTATATCAAAAGGCACCATAATAAGGAGCGATTACGCAAGATATTAGAGCTAATGAGCATTGACACAAAGGTAAAAAAAACTGATTTCAGGCTAACGAACTCATGAGTTGACTCACTCAGACTCAGATCGAGCCACAAGTTTCAGTGAGTCCAGGTGAGCAATATTTTGCCAAGTTTGAGTCCAAGTGAGTCCGGCGAAGAAAATTTACAGTGAATCAGTCTGAGTGAGTCTGGCTCAAGAAAATTCCGGTGAGTCAAAATTTCAGTGAGCCTGAGTCGAAAGAGCAAAATACATTTCATGAATGAGCTCCATAATTTTTGCCCCCTTATGGGCAAAAGTGCACTGGAGAATGCAGTAGCAATGTCATATATTCACATGAAAGGCAGCATGCAATTTATGCAGGTCCAATTTGGAGTCATCATGAACACAAGTGACACCAAAAGTCACGTGACAAAGTGATGACATTATGTATTGGTCTAGGGATTGCCAATCATGCCTTAGACCTAAGAGCAACACTGCATGAAGTGTAGAAAGCCTCAGTGAGTTGAGGCCATGTAATTTACAGATAAGTAATTTAAATGAGCTCTCAATTAACTAAGCAAACTTTTATAAACCCTATGAATACAAACAATTACAATAACTGAGGCTGCTAATATACTGAAGTGAGGTATATAAGCATACCGCCCATTCTGTCTACTAGGTATTTCAATAAGAAATTTGCTTTTTAAGGACGAAATCATTTCCGCAAGGTTTGCGGTTTTACGTGAGTGTATAAAACTGTGCGCCGGAAAGTTAAACCGGAGTTTGTGCATTTTGTTCTTCCTTAAGTGGTTGTTGGCTAGAACAGTACAACATGACGAGCATAAATTAGACTTTCCACCCTATTGCAACACTGTATAAGCATGGCCTGCAAAGCAGCGCGTCTTACCATAAGCTTTTCAATAAGGCAAACTAAAAGCACACACACATGCTGCACTGCACACTATATTAGCTTTTCCAGGCCCTCTGGACTGCTGACAGATCTAGGAATTGCGTGCCTTTGTCACGCCTTCGTCAGTACTTCCATGAGGTGCCAGCGGTGTGCAGTGAATGGGCACTGACGAAGGTCCCTGAAGGTCACCACAGTCCAAGAGAACCTGGAACACATCGCGTTGACATCACTGTGTCAGGGAGCCACTGCCACCCTGCTCCATTCCTTACCTGGCCAGGCTTGTTGAAAAGGCAAATGCCATGACCAATGCGCAGCGCAGTTTATGTACTCTTCCAGGCTGCATGATGAAAAGTGGTATGGCTGGATATGGTTGGTTCCTCTGCAAAGTGAGCACAACATGTATCACACTGCAGCAAAGAATTACTCACAGTTCACTCACAGAATGCCAGGCCCCATTATGCAACCCCACGAGTCCTGGCACTGGCAGCTTCCTGCGGAGAACATTTGAACAGCTCACTCATCAGTTTACAGTAATATTTGAAGAACACTGGTTGCAATAAAGTTTAGTTTGTTCTCAATTTTTTTTTCTATCTCTCCTTCGTAACCGTCTTGCAGCTGCTGGTTTATTAATCATCATTATTTTGCCATCATTGGAACAAACATGGGACTCATGTGGCCCGAAGTTGGCCCTGACAAGTCAGCCTGGCTCTACAATCCATCAGCCCGTTGCCAATAATGGACCATTTACCCATGGTTGACAAACAGAATGGGCACTAGCTAAAAACGATACTGACCCAACCTAGTTTGCCAACATCAAGCCGACCAATATTTGAAGGGTCATGAACACCAGCCCTACTTTTTGACGAGCTCGTTTTCCTGCTAGGGTGCCTGAGAAATATCGCACTTTAAACAGTGGTAGAAGAAGATGTGGTGAGGGATTGACGTAATGAGCACTGAATGCAGTATATATGCTAACTCTTAAGGAAGAATGTGCCACTGATGATGCCCTTTTTAAATACAGTCATCCATAGCCCTCTTTCCAAATTATCCCTTTTTAACTATATAGTAAGTAGGTTCTTAGGCGAATTATTTGTTCAGCTTCATCTAGATTACACAAGGTTCTCTTTCATTACACTTTCAATAACTTAACTGCGTCAGCACTTATCGAGAGTCTCTTTACCACAAGATGAAGAAGAACAGAGAGCTGTAGTTCATGCTATTCTAACTATGGAGTGCCTATTTGTAATTGCGAATAAATGTTTTATACGACTATCAATTACTAAGTGTGTCCTACCCAAAGTTTGCACTTAGGTAAAATATTCACTATGAAAACTGATCAGAAGGTGATTCCATGCATTGCTCCACCGAATGTGGTTACATGTGCAGGTCAAATACCAAACACTCATGAGCTAGAGACCTAATACAATAAGCTACGCAAGAGAATCCTAACTTATTAAACAGCAATTCAATAGTGAAAAGAAATGCATAATACTATTAAAACCTCACAAGTTGAAACTGCTGTAAATGAGTGAGGCAGCATAACTGGTGTCAAATGCAAAACACACTGACCACCATCATCGTGACTCATGCCGAGATTGTGGCCGAGCATGTGTGTCACAGTGCTGGCCACTAGATGGGGCTCGTACACATTTGTATCCTGCACGTGCAAGAAGAAAAGGTAAGTACATGTGCGCAGAGCTTCATCAGAACACACTCACTTGGCTTACTCCCACTGCCTTTGCCGTGCACACAGTGTCAGGTATGGCCATGCCCACCTCTCGACTTGGAAAGTGGCGACCACTGCACACATTACATCCCCACTAAACATTCTGGCACAGCCCCTATGCAAGGGCTGCTTAGAATGTTATGCAAAAAAAAAAAAGGTGCATTTCATGAATGTACAAACAATAGTTATGTAAGATGGCACATTAAATACTTTATTTAATCAATTATTAAATAATTGTTTGCAAGAGTGTCCAATAATTGATTTTTGCTATCATTAAAGGTTTCTTTGTCAACTAATCAAGACTTCTTGTGGGCACATAAAAAAAATGCTGTTTACAGTTCATGCTTATTTATTTCAGTTCATTTATTTGTATGGTATATAGGTGAAACAAGGTCAAAGTGCATAACTGTTTGATAAATGGTGACATCTGTTTAACATAGTTGGTTCTAATGCTAAGTGCAAGAACAACCAACTTATGGTACGAAACCAAACAACACAGATATCTAGAAACACTAGAACGGAAATTTAAATTTTGTTTTACTACAAGCATATGTTACAAGAAGGGCTGGTAAAAGCTCTTAAAACAGCTGAGGAGCCATGACTTTCTAGTGCACAGGACAGCAAAGAAGTGCGTGTGGCTAACCAAGGAAGTACAACACACTAAGTTAAATATGTACGAGTTTCACAATAGGGTGAAAAAAAATCTGCAGGCCTGAGCAGAACACGCAGTACAGTCAAAGTGAAAGCCGTAAGAGCAGCATTTCTAGAGCCTCTCTAAGGGAAACTAACAGAATTACACATGTAAGGTACCCACTACGCCATAATCATCATGATTTTCATGACTACACAAGCACCCACTAGGCCATTTTTCATGATTCTGTGGAGAACCGTGGTACCCATTACACATCTGTAAGACATTAGGTGCACTTTCTTTGTGCTGTAGCTGAGATGATGAAAAATTGTGGCTGAGCGCTTTGTAATGGGTTGGAAGCCTTGAAAGATCAACTAATGAAATGAGCAATGTGTGATTCCTGGGGCATCACAGAGCCCGTTTAACTCCGATTGTTCACTCCCTGAGGTAATAATTGACAAAAAGTCACCACCACTGCAGTAAATCAATTAATCATCAATGTAATAATACAATAACCTCAGGTGTCCTCTAAATGCTTGTCAATTATGCTAAAGTACAAATCACTAAGATTTGGAGCATGATTGAAAGTAGCAATAGGAAAAAGCATGTCGTCTGTATTTATTACACTTATTGCATATACCACAGGCTAAAGAAAGTGGGGGGCAAGTACAGCGTTAATGATATTTTTACAGCTGTCAATAATCTAGCTAAAATATCTGCCACCGTAGAGAGAAAGGATGAGCTGGTGATCGACAAGAAGCAGACTGACATTTTTTTCATGAGATGTACACCAAAAATTTACTGATTGCCGTGCATGTCTGGTGTAAGAAATTCCATTTCACTGCAGCCTCTTCAACGTAGGGCAAGTAGGCAACTAGTTATTATTGGAACATAAGAGATCACTTAGTGGAGACCGTTGAGAGTGAAAGTGCACACCTAAATTCGATGAATGCATGATTTAATGCCGGCACAGGAATGAAGAAGTGTGTTTAATAGTTGTGGCCTGGCAGTATATATATCAATAACTGGGGTACGACATGTGTGAGCCTACCATCGAGTAATGTGCATAGATAAGAAACCAAGTGTCTGAATAGTTATCTATCACGTAGACTCCAATGCATGCTGGATTGATAGATTCCTCTATCGCATGGGCATGCAGAGATAAGTTTTCGTGCTTTCTTTATTTTTCGTCGTTGTGTGCCTCTGCCTTTGCAGTTGTAAGTCTAGAGATGTCTTGACCTTTCTGTTGTACCTGTGTTTGCACACCCTAACCACCCTATTTACTTGCGTAATAGGCACACTTTTTTTCCAGAAAATCCGGCTCTAAGTTCGAGGTGCGAGTATTATGCGGGACATAATTTCTAAAAATTGTATTTTTGACTATAGCATGGACAACTGATAATGTCCGCTGCCGAAGTCACGAATATCTGCACTATAGCATTTTTAAAAACCTTTCTCATAGGCTACACTAGTGCAAAACGTGTTGAGCATGCAGTCTTATCTGCCCGTGAATTGAGGCATGCAACAAAGTGTGCATTCAATTTAAAAAAAACTACGAAAAGCAAGCGCCATCGCAGAAATTCGCTGATTATGTTTCAGGCCACCTAGATTATGCGCATTTGTGGGGGTGCTGATACTCTTTATAAAGTTGGTTTCACCGCATAACGTACATGTCTTGCACAAAAGCCGTACTTTGGGTTCACAACTATTGAGCGGTAGGTGGCATGATCGTGAGCAGTGATCACCACTATCATCATCATGGCTAGATTGGTAGCATTGGCGGTGACCCCTAGCGGCAAGCCTTGGTGGCGGCAAGAGAGAATTGAGCGAGTCTTTTTTGCGAGTGGCGGTTGCCTTTAGTGGTGGGTCTGCCGTGGACGGCACCGTGGGCTGTTTGTGGTGGGCCCACAAGGTGAGTCAAGCATTGGCGAAGCCGCCTTTTGTGCGTTCTTGTGTTTGCTATGTTGTTGAGTGTTGTGTAATTTTGTGTAAGGCTGTTATAGCGTGTTGATCCCAATTGATGTATAATTATTCAGCTGACGATATCGCCGTTCAAAAGTAGTTAAATAAATGTGTATTGTTTGGCTTGGATCGTTCCAACCGCATCTGCCGTGTCTGTTCACTCTAAAAGCATGGCGCTCGCCATATCAGACCCCACACATTATCATGACAAAAATGTTGTGCACTGAACGGTACCATTCCCTCGATTTCACGGGCTCACACCTCATATCCAAGACATTGCAGTAGAATCGTGAACCACCATTCGAGTTTTACAAGCGCCACCCAAGTCCCCTTTCCTTCAAGTAGAGCCACCAAAAATAGTTGCATTGATTCTGCACAAAACTGCAACTTTGATCGCAACTTTGAACTGCAACTTGAACAGCACTAGCAGGGATTACGCCTAGCATATGATTTGGCGTGTTGTCGCGGGAAGTTTGTGCTAGACAACATGAAAATTCGGCATCCAAAAGATCATACTCAAGCACTGCTCTAAAAGCAGTGCGCGTGATACGATTTTAGGTTCACGGCCAAAATCAACAGCGACAAAAGCCGCCGAGCTTGTGCAAGTTCACTTATATTGGCTAAAGTTCGTGTCGGAAAGCCGAAAAGCTTTTAAATTTGCAGAAGAGATAGAAAACGCTATAATGATGACACTTTTCTCGACAAGAACTCAATGCACACTTGACAAGAACGCAATCGCATGTTCCATGCGGAGAGCGTGCGGTCGGGCTAGTGGCTGAAGCTGCACCAGAGCTGGTGCAAAAGCTTACTCCGACCCCCAAGCAACCATCCTTCTTCCTCACACAGCAAGGTCACAAAGCTGGCGCAGCACAGCCATGGTCTTTTTATTTTTCTGTTTTTTTTTCCTCACTTCAATAAACATAAGAGGGCGTCGAATCGCAACTGTGCACATATGGTAAAGAACTACTGATCATGGCCAAGTTCGGGATGTGCCTATTATGAGAGGAAATGAAAAAATCTGATTTCTCGCGACCAAACTGGGGGTGCACCTATTATGCAAGTATATACGGTATTAACATGGTTTGTCTATGCCGGATGCAGTATCCAGTCTGTGACACCATCACAATGCATTTCGGCATCTACTAATTGGTACGTTCAACAAAAAGTCATCAAGGTCAGCACAGGAACACAATTGTGTAAAGAAATTCAATATTAAAAAAGTAAAAAAGCTTTACAAACATCAGAAGCCTCATACGTGAGCAAGTGAGTGGCATCAACAGCCTGCTTGTAAAGGTTCTTGGCGGAGTAGTCAACGAAGTTGAGCAGGGCTTGGCGAATGTCAGTTGTGTGCTCCACCTGGTCCCCCGTTGCCCACGTCTCCAGGTAGACAATTGAAACCCGTGTATTCACCGTTCGAAAGTACTGCATAGTTATAATTTGAACTGCTAGTAAAAATGCTCATTCTTACACAAGTTCTGCACAGCGGCATAAGAACAGCCCATTTGTTAGATGCAAAAAACGTGACACCCAGTGTTTGCAAATAATAAAAAAGTGTGCAAGCCATCTCTACTGCTTAAATGATAATTTTGGCACAGTTGCCATTATGTTTATCAAAAACAGCTGTGCACGTTCATGAGCAGCAATGTTGTGCATGAAAGCTATCTTTACCTTAGCAAATGTACTCATAGGGTGGTCATTGATAAATCAGCCAGACTGCCCCACATGAATTGTACCACACTACAGAGGAACTCTTTAGATTAGAGCACTGCGCGAGCTCGGCCCTAACCGAAAACCCCGGTGTGGCTCGACCCGTGGACCAGGCTGGACCGAGTAAAGCAGTTTCTATGGCAGGCCTGGGCCAGAATCAGGTCTGAGGCTCCGGGCTCAGGGTCTGAACCAGGTTTGTGATAGCATGTACGAGTTGCGCAGGGCATGACTTTTGCTCATTCCTTAAGATTGTTCCACAAACGTTGTGTATACGTATATCTCCTACTATTTTACCTCTAAAAACTATTTTCATGTGGGGAAAGCTTTTTGGAGATGATTTTTAAAACACTCTGATACACCGAGTTTGAGTCCAAATGCGAGTCCGAATGAGTCCGACTCAGGAAATTTCAGTGAGTCCGAGTTCGAGTGACTTTCCCTTCTTGCACATGGAGCTACTAGATTTATGTGAAACAGGTGAGAAAAGCAATTAGACCAAGCACTTATAAGGTTAACATGTCATATTTGCATTCATTTTTATTTCCCCAAAATGTTATTTTATATTTGCAGTAATAAATGTAATATAATAAATTTATGGCTATAATTTATCATTGCAAGAGCATTCCCAATTATCATGAGAACTTTCAGACAAAGTGACAGCGGCAAGCAAGTAAAAGTGCGGATGTAGGAAACGCACCATACAGATTTTTCGCCTAGTCTGGTCATTTTTGATAAGCAGCTTTTCTTTCTGCTGCTTTTAATGCACTTGAACCTTCTTGTTGAAACAAAAGGAGTACAAAAACTTGCTTCGACATTGCCATTAGACATGAACATAAAAGACGAAATGTGTACTGTGCGATTACTTTGCAAAGCAAATGGAGGAGGATGACAGCACTCACCATGTCTACGCAGTTGATTATTTGTATGGCATCGCTCATCACCTCTGTACGGGTGCTGTTACGGGCGTCAAACTGAAAGCATAAATAATCAACCTAGCATCATTTTTCTTCTCAGGATCACATTACAACACTTTTGATGCAAATGAAAAAGATGTGCAAACTATACCATTCAATGCACAAATTTAGTGGCCAATGTGGACAGCATAGCAGATGATATTCCTGAGTAATTTTATTTTAGACATAAAAAGAATTCATTCTGGAGAACTGGATGGAAGCATACTGTTATAGAGTGATACGAACATAAGCTCATCCAGCCATTCCTCACATAGCCAACAAAAACTACCAGGCCACACCCAGTCATTCCAATGCAGGCACCTGTGGAGCCAGGCGTTAACATTGAGCCAGCATAACTTCCAAGCACATCATCACTTTGTGAGGGTGGGCAAAAGACAAAGGCATTCAGCATAGGTCGGCAAACTCACTCATGAATCAACTCAGACTCGACAGTGAGTAAAACCACGCTTTCTTGAAATGCAAAGAAACTTAAAAAAAAAAAAAAAAAACCACGGATTGAACTCACCATAGCTTGGTCCAGTACAAGGGCCAGTTCAATAAATTTGTACACTTCTCGTACGTCTCTCTGCAAAGATTGTGAAAAAATGAATGGGCCTTCAATGAAAAACACAAAATATCGTTTCGAACCCTGTAGGTCCCAGGGACACACCGTGTTTTGTCTACCATATATACCTACACTGTCTGCGGCCAATAAATAAGCAACATTATAGCGTCCACAACTGCAGAGTTCGCTGCAATATACTAATAGCATATGCTAAAAAGTGTTCACCCACAATACTCTAAGCCAGTTCTTCCGCAATACTGGCTGAATAAACAAATATAATACACAGTCAGCATGCTTCAGTGCATCTTGCGGCACTATCTGGCATCACCACAAACTATAAACATTTAAAGGTTAGGCTTTTATGAGCCGAGTCACACGAAAACATAGCCAAGTATATCACTGAAGACACATTTACTACAGACTTGAGAGGTGCACAAAAGAGCAGCACGGGGCAATACATACAAAGTGAATCAAGCACAACTTATTGTTAGGCTAGCTGGTGCGTTGCATCAAGCAATATATCCAGTCAAAAATGTATGAACGCAGGAAAAGGTTAAGGAGACAGCAAAGCATCTAGACTGCCAACTCTTTATAGACCAGAGCAAGGCGCTGGTCTATAAAGAGTTGACACAGTACTCATGCAGTCATAAACGCATAAACTATGAGCTGCATGCATGCTGGTCACATGAAAAGCAATGTGATAGGAATGTTTTGTCCATTGCAGTATAGGCATTTATTAAGCACATTTCTAGCATGCATTAAAATATTGTAAAATATACTTACCTTGTCAGCCCGAGGCTGGATTCTAGTCTGTAATGTAAACAGTCAAACATTACGGTATTTCATAGATAAACAAACCCTATGAGAAGAACATCTCTTGATATACATACAGCATTGCTCAGTAAATTCTTTGGACCAAGGCGGAAAATTGCCATGCACTGGTAGTAATTAATCTTCATACCATTCAGTACACTAAATGTGTTGGTCTGTTTTCCAAAGCAACTGCTTTAAAAAAATGTCTGCACAACAGGGCCTGTAGTTCTTTACTTGAAGACACCAGGACTTTTCTGAGGATTTGGCGGGCAAATTTGAAAGAAATTTACAGCAGTTATCTTTATGACAGCTTAAAGGAAGGTTAAGCTACAATATAGTACATTTGCTCAAGCAGAGAAAATGGCCATGTGACAAGCCAGAAAAGATGTACTGCAATCTTGCCATGTCTAGTCCATCACAATTTACCTCTTCGTCACTTTAAAATGAGCCAAATATCAGAGAGTACAATGTGATGACTGGTGTCAATGTTGACGTGAATGGACATAATGCCCTGGCAACCCTGAGCATGGGAGGACATGCGCCTTCGTAAATGGTGTGGTTTTTGTCTACCCGCGTATCCACCAGGCGTGCAGTTTTAAACAGTCAATAAATGTCTGTTACAACGTAACAACAGTAATGCCACGCTAATGCACCAGTAAAAAACAACGCCGTACATAGCGAAAATAAGAGCCCACTGCTTTAAGTCAAGCAGCATACAGGTCTCGGAGCACACATTTTATACAAACAATCATTAAAGGACTCTTGACGCCAAAATATCATGCTTGAGATGCTTGTTTTTTTCTTCTATTCGGCTGCTTACATAGAAACCTTCAAGCAAGTTTTAGATGCAAATATAGCATTAAAGGTGGGTCAATACGTGCAAAACATCCCAGTCATTGCGTTCAACCCTCTCGGATTCTGCTCTAAAGAAATGTGGACAGTCATTATTTTAGTGCCCTATTTGTCCCGCAACAGTATTTTTGCAATAAAAATTCTTTCCTCTCTCTATAGGTGGTTCAAATATTGTGACGGTTGCTGTACCTCAAATCTCTCCTGTTTGCTGGAACAGCAATAGCGGCTTCTTCTTATGCGAACATTTCTGACCGGAGCCCGAGTGAGCCCTAAGCGCAAAATATATTTCATGAGTGTGTGTAAGTGAGTGCAATTTTTTGTGGTCATACGTACAACAATACTACATCAGTGCTTGAAAGGAGACATGATCTGTCTTCACACAGAGAATCAGTGAAGGCCTTATTGAACTTTTTGCATGGTAGTGGCCTATTGTATAGGCTATAGTACCCCAACTCACAATTTTTTTTTTTTTCGCGTCTATTTCGATCTTCGCTTTTTTCCCCATCTTTTTTCCCCATCCTCCTTTCACTTAGTACAGGGTAGCAAACCAGATGCTCCAATTCCTAGTTAACCTCCCTGCCTTTCCCTTATTTTATTCTCTCTCTCTCTCTCTCTTGTACATCAACTATCCGAAACTCTGTTGGAAACACAGCAGAAAGCCCATGTGTGTAGGTAAGAATATGAAAACACGCAAAGCATCGTACAATCGTTTACTAGCCACACGACACCGCATGTTTCTGTTGCCCTGAGGATGTGCGCAGCACAGTGAAGCAGACTTAAAGGGACACTAGAGGCAAATAGTAAGTCAATATTATATATATGATCATTTACAATTCAATTCTTTTCCTATCAGACACAGACCTTTTAGGCATGCACGTCAAAAAAAAAAGTGGCAGTATGGGGTCCTTTAAAGCATGCAATAATAGAAAAATAACAAATACATGCTAGTGCGACTTGCCTTATATCTGGGCAGAGTTGGGAGAGTCTTGCGGAAGTGTTTGAAGCCCCACTCGTGCATGCGTGAGTTGCCTGTGTGCACAAATGGCAAGGTTTCCCAGCATTCAACCCCACTACAAAGTAGCACAAATAAGCTGCTCACTGCTAAGTCATCACATAAGTCAGCAGCAGACTGTCGATGAACACTGAATGCAAGATGGCCCTACTTTTCATCAGGTCTTGTGAGCTAAGCTGCCCTTTATGTAATATGCACTCCTATCAGCAAAAGTGACCCTTTCGACAGTTCATGCCTTTCAGTGCTTCATTAAAGCACACAAGCATGTTTCTTGTCGATGACATCTCGTGACATTTTGCTACAGACAACATAGCCCGGAAACTCAAGCTTACACACTCATATACACTGTAGCGTAACAAAATGTACACAACTGTTCAAACCCCTGACAACAACATTCCTGACACTGCTTCCTTGGCTCAGTAGTTAGACTAGGGGGAAAAAAAAGCACGCCTCCATGAAGGCAAACATGCCCCTGACCATACCTCATATAGCCCCACTGCCCTAAGTTCCCACAGCGCAGCCATACTCCCCTCCTGTGGCCTCAAAAGTACAGCCGGCAAATGTACTTTATCAAACACAATTCAGTCACGCTTTACATTGCATTAGGCAGACAGTGTCAACAACCAAAGCATTTCGCACTAAGGTCTGAACAACATTCTCAAGTACCTTGCCAACACCTACAGCTGAACATGAAAAAGCTTGATTTCACCAGTCACAAGCAAGAATTCGTAGGAGGAAAAAAGACAATTAGGAGCTGACATAATTCAAAAATGGCACGAGCGCGCGCACCGTACAGCGAGGCCTGATGCGCGTGACCCCAGCTGCAATCGTCGCACGAGCATTGACGAGCTGGCATTGTCGACGTGGGCTTTGCAAGAGAAGGACGCATCGCCAGCTAGCGTACTAGCAACGATAGCGGCAGGACAGCGACTCAGCAACATGTGACGCTGGCATCTCAAGAAGACGAAGACCTTGACAAGCTTCGAGGGAGGCTACTTGGGATGCAGCCGCCGCACAGAGCAAGCGTCGATGTTCCTGAACCCCCTTTGAAGCAAGCCACCGAAGACAGTCCCCGGATGGCCACGTCACCATGCAGCACTGGGTATCGCCAGCAGCCACTAGGCCCAACCACCGAGACATCGCCACGTCACCGACATCAGGCGATGACGACAACAGGCGACCACGTCGGCCGCGACAAGGACGACGACTTTCGACGAGAGCATCGGGATCCCCGACGAGGACCCGACCAATCCGGACACTGACGAGCAGCGCGTCAGTTACGACAAGTAAGGTGACGAAAAGCACCATGAGAAGCATTAAAGCTATGGAGTCACTAGATGACATTTAGAACAGTTTACACTACATGGAGTTTGTTTATAAGTTAGGAGTCTAGATTGTAGTCATTTTTATTTGTTTGGTACATTTTTGTATTTTTGTATGTAGAGGGTGCGTTATGTGTGAGTTTATTCAAGGGGTTTTGTTGATAACAGAGTCATGTCTCGGTCCATCGCCTGCAGCTGCAGCCGGTAATCCGTGACAACTAGCAAAACAAATGTCTTGGGTCACATAAGGTTCTTATACTCTTTCACACGGCCACCATCAAAAAAGAAGAAAAGAAAGAAAAGTTAGCATTTCAACAAACAGCAAAATTCATGTTAGCATTTCAACAAACAACAAAATTCATACACCTGAAGCACAAGGCAGAAAAGCAGATTCATTACACACATGCGCCATTTACCAGATACCGAAGCTGTTTATCTAGGAAAGCAACCAATGGTTTGATCATGCAGTTGTCAGGTTCGCGCAACATTTTTTCTGCTTCAATAATCATCCGGGTGTGATCATCTTTGTGTTTATGCAATACAGCTGTATTTTCGAACTGCTCATGACAACCACACCTGCTGACAAGCTGAGCCAACAAACCTTCATTGCCATTGCGTACATTACGTGCATGTTCACGCAGGGGCTCATTGAAGCACTTCCCAGTCTGCCTGATGTAGCATGCACCACATAACAGCAGAATTCTGTACACTGCATTTGTGTCACATCGGACAAACTGGGCCTTGTGCCTGGCATTGTAGGAGTGTTTGGGCTTGATGCTTGGACATGTCAGCTTGGAAAATTGGAAAAGCTTGTGAGCTGCGGAAAAAACAACCTGCATGCCCATGCGTTGGCCGACCTTTCTCATCCGGTATGATAGCTGGTGCATGTAAGGAATCACCGCGACTTTGTCGCGTTTGCTTTTGTCCCTGTGATCAGCGCTCTCTCCTCTTCTGGGCTTTTTCTTCTTTTACAGAAACAAGAGGTGAATCAAATAGCCAGCTTCTTTTAAATGATCCACTTGATTTTGCAAGATTGTGTTCATCATATGAAAACAAGATCGGTCTAGGGCGTTTGCAAAGCAAGAGTTCACTATGCCTCTCTTAACCAGCTTACTGCGGTGCCGATTTAAAAGGCCAGATCAGTTTTATAGCCCTAGGCTCATACACCCAGCATGTGTGATTTGCGCTGAATATGAGTTTCATGTCTTAGAAGCGAATAGAACTGTTCTCTGGGGATTCGTGTGTCAGGACGAGTGGACTCACTAAAGGCGGAGATGACATACATTTGATGATATCTCGTCTATGCTCGCTGAGTCACTTAAAAAAACTATCAGGCAGTTGTCGAAAAACCTGACGACCCTCAGTGACATATTCACAGCTCACAGTATATATGCGGTGTATGATAAATAAACCTTCACTTGATAGTCTGCGCTTGTCCTTGTCTTTTCCCATCCGTGTTTTCTACCGCACAGTATACATCGACCCTGCCTAATGCCTGCCTTTGTCGAAAATTGACACATTTCAAGCATGAAGGCTACGTCCTGTACCGCCATCTTTATCACCACGACAGCCAACACTAGGTGCCTATCATGCTTGACTCCCTGCTTACTCAGGTTTCCAAGGCATCTCACGATGTCATGACTGCCGGTCAAAAAATGTGCGATCTCATAAAAAGTCGCTTCTCCTGGCCTAGCTTATCCACCAATGTAGAGAGATGTGTCACATCCTGTGCCCTTTGTCTATGCCCAAGGCTTCCAACATCAGCTCATAGTGGAGAGCTGTAAACAAACAGTCCTGTGTTTGTCCGTACGATTCAAGCTGTTAACATTGACCTGTATGGTCTCCTGCCCACAATTCTCACCTGTCATCGATGCATAATGATAGATGTTGACCACTCAACATGCAATGCCGAAACAGCATTTCTGACTGAGGCAAAAAAAGAGTGCCCATACTCTCCGTCATGGCTACAAGTGGCACCAACCAACAGTCCCAACTTTGCATGCACATAAATAACCAGATAAAGTAGATGAGAGGGCAACTTCTGGCATAACTCAATTGGTAAAGCAACTGGCGCGTAATCTGAAAATTGCAGGCTCGGGCCATGCTGGCGGCAAATTGTCTTCTCATCCACTCTACTTTTTTCACATCTATACTATAATTCCAACATTACACCTAAAACAGTACAACTGACATCTCCTATACCTCCTTTTGCATCATTATCTATTGGTTTACATTAAGGCTGTATCATTTAGGTGAGGCACATTGTTGGCTTAGTAGTCAGTTCATTTAATCAGCAAAGCTGTTCTGAATGTGACGAGGTTTATTAGCCATTAAAGACAGCGACAAGACAGCGTGACGAACCGTCCAGCGATCGGCACAGCAACGAACCGAAGCACGAGCCGAGAGAGCCGGGCGTTGGCGATGCTGCTCGCTGCAGGCACATCTTCTTCTTCACAATCGCCCCCGCTGAAAAAGGAGCCATCCTGGCGACTTAAGAAGTTTGAGGCAAAGGCTCATGATACGGTTTCAGTCGGGAAACATGGACGATGTCACGTGCACGCCGTCGCATGTCGTCCGATCGGGAAACTGGTTCAATTAGAAAATTAACCGGAGAGGTTTTCTCCAAAACGGTGTAAGGCCCCTCGTACCGGGCGACAAGTTTCGAGGAGAGTCCCGGTGTTTGGTATGGGATGGCAAGCCACACAAGAGACCCTGGGGCATAGCTGGGATCCGGAAGAGAGGTGCTACGGGTTTCTTTCTGGCGTTGTTGCTCTTCCGAGGTGAACGCACGGGCGAGCTGGCGGCACTCTTCGGCTTGTCTAGCAGCATCGGAGATAGGTGGACACTCGGAAGCATCTGGACGGTAAGGAAGTAGGGTATCAATTGTATGGGAAGGCTCGCGTCCGTAAAGAAGAAAGAAAGGTGAGAATCCCGTGGTGGTTTGTATTGCGGTGTTATATGCGAACGTGACGTATGGGAGAACACGGTCCCAGTTGCTATGATCAGATGCCACGTACATTGAGAGCATATCACCTAGCGTGCGGTTGAACCGTTCCGTTAGTCCGTTAGTCTGCGGGTGGTATGCTGTCGTTTTCCGATGAATGACGTGGCATTCCGAAAGCAGAGTTTCGACGACCTCGGAAAGGAAAGCGCGGCCTCTGTCACTAAGGAGCTCTCGAGGTGCACCATGTCGAAGAATAAAGCGTTGCAAAATGAAAGAGGCGACATCCTGAGCTGTAGCGCTCGGCAAAGCGGCTGTTTCGGCGTAGCGTGTCAGGTGGTCAACCGCCACTATAATCCAACGATTACCATCTGGTGTCAATGGAAGGGGACCGTAGAGGTCAACGCCGACGCGATCAAATGGCTTGGCAGGGCATGGAAGTGGCTGCAATGCGCCAGTCGCACGTGGCAGTGTTGATTTACGTCGCTGGCAGTCAGGACAGCACTGCACGAATTTACGTACAAAATTGTACATACCGCGCCAGTAATAGCGATGGCGAAGGCGTTCATATGTTTTGAACACTCCGGCGTGGCCACATTGCGGATCGTCGTGAAGGGAGGCACATACTTGCGATTGTAAAGTGCATGGAATGACCAGCAACCACCGGCGGCCATTGGGAGCGTAGTTGCGTCGATGAAGAAGTTGATCGCGGATGGTGAAATGGAAAGCTTGACGTCGGAGGGATCGAGATACTGGAAGGTTGGGCGTGCCAGATAAATATTCGATAAGAGAGGCGATCCACGGGTCACGACGTTGTTCGGTGGCAATCGAGTCGAGATCTAGCGATGACAAGGTCTGGAGGCAAGTGTTTCCGCATGTCTGATCTGGTGGTAAAGGTGAGCGGGACAGAGCATCAGCGTCAGAGTGTTTGCGTCCGCAGCGGTATACGACGCGTATGTCGTACTCCTGGATGCGGAGTGCCCATCGCGCAAGGCGGCCAGAAGGGTCTTTCAACGTGGAGAGCCAGCAAAGCGCGTGGTGATCAGTTACTAGATCGAACGGGCGGCCGTATAAGTACGGCCGGAACTTTCCAAGCGCCCACACCAGGGCCAAACACTCTTTTTCTGTCACGCTGTAATTAGTTTCAGCTTTCGTCAGAGTGCGGCTAGCGTAGGCTACAACGTATTCTGAATAGCCGGGCTTTCGTTGAGCGAGGACCGCGCCTAGCCCGACGCCGCTGGCGTCGGTGTGCACTTCGGTAGGAGCCGTCGGGTCAAAGTGGCGAAGAATAGGTGGGGAAGTGAGCAGACGGCGCAGAGTAGTGAAGGCAACGTCACATGCAGGGGACCAGGAGGTGAGGTTCACGTCACCGCGAAGAAGCTGGGTTAACGGTGACATGATAGATGCAAAATTGCGAACAAAGCGCCGGAAATAGGAGCATAGGCCTACAAAACTGCGAAGTTCTTTCATGGTCGTCGGCTTGGGAAATTCTGCGACTGCTCGAAGTTTTGCTGGGTCTGGTAATACGCCGTGCTTGGACACGATGTGGCCTAGGATGACGAGCTCGCGTGCAGCGAAGCGGCATTTTTTCAGGTTAAGCTGCAGACCAGCGTTGGTAAGAACACTCAAAACGTGCCTGAGGCGAAGGAGGTGCGTAGGAAAGTCATGGGAGAAAACCACGACATCGTCGAGGTAACAGAGGCACATATTTCATTTGAGGCCACGTAGCGTATTATCCATTAGACATTCAAACGTGGCAGGCGCGTTACAAAGCCCAAAGGGCATGACGTTAAATTCATATAGTCCGTCTGGTGTAATAAATGCCGTTTTCTGGCGATCGGCTTCTGCCATTGGGACCTACCAGTAGCCAGACCGCAAATCTAGCGACGAGAAAAATTTTGCTCCGTGAAGGGTGTCAATGGCGTCATCAATGCGCGGCAAAGGATAGACGTCCTTGCGGATTATCTTATTCAAACGACGATAGTCCATGCAAAATCGGATAGATCCGTCTTTCTTACGCACCAGGACGACGGGAGACGCCCAGGGACTGTGAGATGGTCGAATGACGTCTCTACAAAGCATATCTTCGACTTGATCGTTGATGACGCGGCGCTCTTCAGCGGAGACACGGTATGGTCTTTGACGCAGTGGTTGGTGTAGGCCGATGTCAACATGATGTTTGACTTGTGATGTGCGGCCCAGTTGAGGTTGCGACACATCGAACGAACTCCTGAACTCATGCAGAAGATCCAGCAGGTCGGCATGTTCGGTGGGAGTGAGAGTGTCGGCGATGGCGCTGGAAAACGTATCATTGGACGACTCCCCGAGTGCCGACAGTGCTTTTGGGTGGTCGCAGTAGTCGTCCAGGACATCAAACAAAAACGAAGGGTCGAGATCCTGCACGCGGCCGAGACATTCCCCCGCAAGCAATGTGACAGGTGTGGAAAGCGGATTGCTTACGAACATGTTGCTTCTTCCGGCGGCAAGGTCAATTGTTGCGAAAGGCAGCGGCAAAGCTCGACGACATTTGAAGATATCGGAAGGCATAAAAAGAACTGTAGCGTCAGTGTAGGCGTTGCATGAAACGGGAACAAGGGCGAAATTTCCAGGCGGAATATCGGTATTTTCATGAACAAGCAACTTCGGCGGCTGATGAGGAGCGTCCAGTAATGGGACATCACACAAGGGTGAAAACTCAACTTCGGCGCGTGCGCAGTCTATGACGGCATTATGGCGGGATAGGAAGTCCCATCCGAGGATGACATCATGCGAACAGACAGCGAGGACAATAAACTCCACAGTGTAAACAATGCCTTCAATGGACACTCTTGCAGTGCAGGCTGCGAGAGGCGTTACTTGCTGTGCACTTGCGGTGTGGAGTGACAGTCCCGAAAGCGGCGTCGTGACTTTACGTAATACACGGCAGACATTAGCGGCAATAACAGAAACAGCGGCGCCGGTGTCTACAAGGGCGAAAGTAGAATAACCTTCAACAGTTACTGCGACCACGTTAGCAGGAGAGGGGCGAGGGCTTAGACAGTTCGAAAATGGCGCAGTTCTTGCCTCTTGAACTGCGGTGCTTAGTTTTCCTGGTCAGAAGGTCTGGGCCGGCGACGCATGGGGGAGGGCGATCGCCGACGAGGAGAGGGTGCGCGCGGTGTCACGAAGTCGGGGTTGTTAGGAGGGGCATAGCGAGGTGACGAGACCGGCCCGTATTGCGCGAAGGGTTGGCTGCCGGGTTGCGACGATCGGACATAGTCGCCGAACGTCTGAGGTCGACGGCGGCAGTAGCGGGCAACGTGTCCGGGAGTAAAGCAGACGTAGCATATCGGTCGGTTATCGGGCGTCCTCCAAGAATTGGCTACTGGTGGTGCCGCCCAAGGTGCAGTATAAGCAGCCGGGTGTGCGGGCTGTGAGCGCGAGGTGTAGGGTGGTTGCGGAAGCCTACGCACAGCGTCTGCATATGTGAACGGCGCTGCTACAGGCTGCATCACTTGCGAGCAGGCGACAGGAGGAGCCACAGGCTGCGCTGCATACGTTAGGGGCGCGGCCACAGGCTGCACGGCTGGCGGATAGGCGACAGGAGGGCCTACCGGCTGCGCGGCACGCTGGCGGTGGGCAAGGCTGGATAGAGGCGGCTCGTGGTGCGCAACAGGAACAGCTTGGGCAACCTCTTCCGAAATAGCAGTGCGAAGCGGGACAGGTAGACGGGTGGTGGTCTCTTGAGTGAAGGGCACTTGGGAAAGTTGGCAGGCGACTTCCTCACGGACGAAGGCTCGAACTTGCTGAAGCAGGGGTGAGTTGTCCGGCAGGGTGTCGAAACTGGACAGTGACTCACCACCATGCTGAGGCTGCCGAGTCAGAGTGCGTTGCTTCTTCAACTCGTCGTAGCTCTGACACAAGCTGACGCCTTCGGAAACTGTGCTCGGATTTCTTGCCAAGAGCATTTGAAATGCGCCGTCGTCGATGCCCTTCAGGATGTTTTTGACCTTGTCAGATTCGGGCATGGTGTCACTCACACGTCGACAAAGGTTGACGACGTCCTCAATATAGCTGGTAAAGGTCTCGCCAGTCTGCTGAGAGCGGACGCGCAAGCGCTGTTCTGCCCTCTGCTTGCGGAGGGCCGGCCGACCGAACACTTCAGCACATGACGTCTTGAAGACGCTCCATGTGGGGATGTTGTGTTTGTGGTTATTAAACCACAATTCGGTGACGCCAGTGAGATAAAATATCACGTGGCCCAGCTTGTCGGCTTCATCCCACTTATTGTTGGCGCTTACCAGTTCGTAATGCTCGAGCCAGTCTTCGTCGTCGGCCCCATCCGCACCGCTGAAGACCTTCGGCTCCCGTAGCCTAGGATGGCCAGGGCAGTTGAACTGGAGCGAAGGCGTCGATGTAGTGGCGTTGGTAGTCATGACAGGTGGTAGCGTGCGGCTTCGCAGCTCCAGGGTGTAGCAACGGGGATTAACAGCACCTTCCACCAAATGTGTGGAGGTTTATTAGCCGTTAAAGACAGCGACGAGACAGCGTGACGAACAGTCCAGCGATCGGCACAGCAACGAACCGAAGCAAGAGCCGAGAGAGCCGGGCGTTGGCGATGCTGCTCGCTGCAGGCACATCTTCTTCACATGAAGCACATCAAATATTTTGATTTCCGAGTTTCAAAGAAAACACGAAAATGAATCCACATGTCGCTGTCTCTAAAGCAGATTCAAGATTATTTGGAAGTTTTCTTCACTACAAAGACAAACTAAATGGGTGCACATCAAGAAACAAACAGCTGACATCCATATTGGTTCAACACAGGGCTGCTACCGAATTGCTCTGTTGTTGAACAAACATGCTTACCACAGATGTAGGGATTCTTGTTGACGTTGAAGTATTTGTAGATGACATGGGGGTGGACCCGCTGCGTGGAATGTAATATTACAGTCAATATACAACACAGCAGAAGACAATGCGTGCAGCTCTCACCGACAGGTCTCCTCCATAGAATGGATGGATGACAAAGGTTTCATTGCGAATGTGAATGATGCCACTGAAACATAGAATAAACATCTAATCAAAACATCATCTTTGCCTAATTCAAGTTATCCAGCAAACATATTTAAAATGCAGTTAAATCTCGTTACTTCAAAGTCAAGACATTGAAAAATTCTCGAATTAAGAAGGTATGCATATAACGAAACATACAAAATTTGAATAATTGAAAGTAATCAGAAATGGTGGTTTACTGTGTCGGCAAGTTCGTGCCTCCAAGGGCCCTTCACAAAAATCCCTACGCGAGAAATGTGTCCATTTTGTGGCAGTAGGGAGAACCTGGTTCACATCTTCTCTCAGAGTTCACTACCAGTCGTCCTCCATCGAATGGTAGCTAGTTTGTTTGGATACCCCGGTGTTCCTTTCGGCACCATTTGTTTTCTACCATGCATCCTCTGGCTGGGTGAGCAGTGAAGTAGTACGTGCGTCTACTTGTCGAGTGCTCCTACCAAGTGTGGATGGCACGGTGCAGTGCCATCATTGGTGGGAAGCGGCCCTGGTTCGTTCTTCACCGTGAGTGGCACCACCTAGGTGTAAAGAAGTCATGAAACGTGGTCCCATCCGGCAGTGAGTCAAAAGGGTAGTTAACCATCAAATTTTTTAAGTTCCACGACTCAGTCTAGTGAGCCGGTCACCCCTGTGTGTAATTTGCATGGTTATTCGCTGGGGCTTGGCATGTGTTCGGAAGCCCCTGTTGGCTACCTCTCCATGCCCGGCGACTCTACTCACCAAGCTGGAAAGTGCCTCTTTTCTCTGAGAAAGATTAAGCCTGCTTTTAGCCATGCTGGTTCACCAGGGTACATTAGGTTTGTGTCCAGTAGCCGTGGCCTCTCCACCAGACAGTAGTCCCGTAGTCCTCAAAGGACAAATTGACTTTCACTGGACTCTAGGGGCCAGAAGACAGGCCATGACCCCAAAATTCCTTCGCCGAGCTATAGCCGATCTGTCCTAAAAGGACGTCATCGGCTCCAAGCCGTATGACAGTGTCAGGGTATGTCCTCTTTGTGTTCACCGACTGAAGGTACTGGGCAGAAGGATAGTTCCTTTGTCGAGTAGTCAGGGTACGTCCGCCTTGCGTGTGGTGACAAAAGTTACTGCACCGAAGGGTAGTCCCTAAGTTGAGTGTCAGGGTACAGCCGCTTTGTGTGTGATGACGCAACGTAACCGTGCTTAAGGGTAGCCCCTTCGTTGAGTCTCCCTGGCCTGTGGTGGCTGGGGGATGGGCCATGACCGCAACGCGCTCTGTGCCTAGGGATAGCCCACTTTGCCAGGGCACGTCCACTTTGAGTGTTGTGACCGAAGTTACCACGCCGAAGGGTAGCCCCTTTGTTGGGTCTCTCTGGCTTGTTACGATGGGAAGCAGACCACGTCTGTTTGGTGCCTGGCGCCAAGAAGTTAGTGGAGTCAGGTGCCCATTAGACCCCTTAGGTTTGCGATCCGCTTCGTGCGCAGAATGATTGTGCAAGCAGCGGAACAGAGAGCGCATGCCATGCTCTGCTTACGAAGTCGATTGAGCGAAGGGTGAAGGTGCGTCCGCTTGGTTTCGCCGCAATTTTGAAGATGTGCTTGTCATAAACGTGGAATCTATGCATTCCCTGCACACCCTGCACTGTTTCGAGACACTACATTTGCGCGTGGCTGAGGATAAGCGACACTCAGCTCATAGCGACCTATTACACAGGGCAGCGTGCAGCCTAACATCCAGGCAGTTAATTAATCACTAATGTGCAGGTGGTTAATTAATGAGAATTGAGTTCTCATTATTTACAAGGAAGCGGTGGATTTAGTCTCATACCCCATGGTCTTTTCAGGACACCCTTCCTTCCCCCTCCCCACCTTCAGCCACTTGCCATGGTGGGGCTCAGATCTTGCTTTCCACATTGAAAATTAAAAAAAAAATCATTTTTTCTATAAAATAACACACTTTCTTTTTTTAGCAGGGAAACAAATAGGAAATATCTAAATAAAATTTATTGTTGAAGATTCTTTTTAGAAATTTCTGCAGCGAGTGTCAAAACCTCAAATGCGAATTTTCTCAGCTTCACATTTTTTGCCAGCCTAGTCTGACTAGCCCTACAGAACTTTTTGTTATGTTTTTATAAGCCAATTATAAGGAAATTTGAAGAAATCTTAATTTTGAAGGTGTACTTCCTTTTAAGAAGTCTTAACTACACATTGTATTACTATGCGAAAATAATCGACTAGCAGTGTTACATCTGATTCCAAATCATAGCCTTATTGTCATGATATCATTTCAAATAACTACCCTTGAAGACATAATATTGATACATAAATGTTGATGTAGCTATTTTATTTTAACTTGTAGGCTCGTTCCATTGTCCCGGGGTCGCCCAAGAGTAGGGTTGTGGTGGTCGCACCGGCTTTGTTGTGCTCGTAGGAAGCTTCCTCGTAGAGGGGTTGTTTCTCAGGTAAAGGGTCGTCAACGGCTTTTCAAGGTGCTGGATAGTCTGTGGGGGAGCTGCTGCCCTGTATAAGCCTAAATGCACGTTGCGTTAGTTTCCCGTGTTTGTTTACTTTAGTTTAGTGAGTCGTCAGCGGAGACATTTGCGTGGTTCTTTCTGGTTTGGTCTCCAATCGAGATCTCGGGATCTTGCTAGGGAAGCCGGGGGGAGTCGCACAGTGGATGCCGCGAGAGCAGGTTGCAGCGTGTGCTGCGCAGAGTTGTCCCATTTATGTAGAGTACAAGTATGTACAATGTCAATCAGAAGTGTTTTAACCAAATAAATCAGTTCAGGAGGAAGTATATGGATCTGCTGTGTGTACGTGTCGATCCTCTCTGGGGCAGCGACCAAGTAGCGACCAAAACAATACGCTACAATATTAAAGTAGATGCAACTATTCAGTACATTAGGAAAGACTGGCACACCTGATTCCACTGCAGGTACGAAAAGCAGCCACGGCACCGGGGTAGTCCTTGATGGTGCCATGGTAGTAGCAGTGCTCCACCTCCTGGACAATAAAAAATTAACAATTCATCTAACTCATTCACGGTGACAGGCTGTGCTCATCCACTAAATAGGCAGACAAGCCTTCTGCCACTGTTACACAATAAAAGCGTACCTGCACATTAGCAAGTGAAAGGCAAGAAAAAATGTGAGGCCTGCATGCAACAGCCAAAGCTGGAACAGTGAAGTCAAGTCAAGTCAAGATCCTTGATGATGTGGCGCATACCCACGCTGGGGGATTGGCCAAGAACCGGATAGTTTTCATAAATTTCTTCCTTGATAACAGGTTATCTATTTACGAGAAATAAAACAAAAATGCAACAAGACGAATTTGGTGGTTGAATTGTAAATAATCTGTAGAGTAATGCAACAAAGTGTCGTATTTGATTTATTATGAATTTGGAAATTTTAAAATCTACCAAACAATGATTTCAACACTTAAACCTCTTTGAACTTTTGACGAACTCCTGCAATGCGTCAATCATCTTGGAAGAGTGGTCTTTCTAGAGCCTTTTTTCAACACTTTTGGGGCAACTTCTTCAAGCACACTTGCTTATACCCACTACGCCATAAATCATCAAATATATTATTTTTGTGTAGTGGGGAAGCGTCCGCTATACAAGTCATTCTTTAGAAAGCGTGGCACCCGCTACATGCTTGTAAGGCATTATATGCACTTTGTTGACACTGTGACTGACGATGACGAAGAATTATGCCTGCGGGTTTTGTAATATCTTGGATCATTCAACGACCCACTCGTTATGCGATTCGCATTGCATGATGCCTGGCTGTTATTTTATTGTTCTGAAATGCGTCATTACACATGTGAACACGGTTCCTTACCCAATATGAAGCCTGCATTAGGTTAGTTCACAATGTAGTTTCAAGCACCGGCATCGCTCAGTGGCTGAATACAGGAATGGCACGCAAGGGCGCAGGTTTAATTGCCATCCGTCCTCAGTATTCATTATTTATTTGTTTTATTTCATGCAATACTGCACTATGTTCCCAATGCTCGTACCAATGTTCGCACCAATGTTCGTAACCATGGTTACGAACATTGGTGGTAGCGGCGGTGAACAAATACGGCGCCAGAATTGGCCTTTGTTGTGATCTCATAACAGCTTGCGCTGTAAAACTGGATGATAGGGGCAACTGTTCTGGGCCTTCGTTGAGTACCTTTATGCCATATCATGAATTTTTGCTCTAACAAGCAATACCTAAAATTTCCTGTCACCAGTGTGTCAACCCTTATTTACTTTCTGCAATGATAGGAGCAGATGAGCAGATGAAGTTTGCATCAGATGAACTGTGTGGTTCCTGAAGTGCTATGACATCAATTGAACAGGCAACTAGTGCTTGACCCAAAGTGAAATTCATTGCACTCATGTCAGAAAACTCTGCCACTTCTGCCAGTGCAAAATCAGCACTGATACACTGCCACAAACATATGACAGCTACAATTGGCCAATTGAAATGAATGTTTCAGAAAATGCCCACTGTGTAAACAGCTTATTGGTAAGCGGTATTTCAACCAGTGATGCATGTGAAGCACTCTGAAGAAACACACTGCAGACATTCACTTGAGAAAACTTTTGACATCAGTGTGAAAAGTGAGCGGTGATTGTATCGTGAAATCACAAATTATTATGCAGACTGTTACTGTTACCATTATTACCAAAAAAATATAGTTGAACACATGACTTGAACCAAGGCATAAAGACATATACAGTATGTGCTCTGTATACGGACCACTGCCACTAACAATGGTATTATACCCCCCTTTCCCCAACACACCCACAAAAGAAAAAGTCACAGTTTCGCCACTAGGGTGAAGCAATGAATGCAATAGCTAAAAATTGGAGTGTCAAACAAAGATCGGTGAGCAGCTCGATACTTGCTGCTTCCCACTGAAGCACAAAGAAGAATGCTCGAAAAGGATGTGCTGGTATACAGAGGACAAGCCTGAACTAGCAACTATCACAGTTGTTACGCCTTTGTGTTTCAGCAACGTGCTGCAATTGTCGACAACGCAGGGCCCGATGCTCTTAGATATTTCTTTTTCTTCTAAAGTGCAGTGCGTGAAATGAGGCCTCTGCGTCTTCTGCCACATGGTGGTGTCTGTGCGCAGTGTCTTTTTCTCTTTTTTTTTTTCGTGCCGCATGTCAAGCGCGTACAGAGGGGCCCTTTTTTGTGTGCATGTCAAGAGAAGTTTTCAAATTTAAAGAAAATGCAGAAGCTTTTGGTGATAAACAACATCATACTTAAGCTCCTGGGAGATTTGCATACCGCCAGCAGTAACTGTTGCCGATACACAGCTTGCAGTTATTATGCCATCGCATGCATGGTGCGTGATACACAGAGTGGTCTACCGTAGCGCGCTGCAGAGCGAGAGGTCGCTAGTTCAAATCCCCACTTGGGTGCCTTGAATTTTTTTCTTGATTTATTTTTCCTTGTGCCTTTTTTATATAATATACATAAACAAGCATGGCAGTGACAGTACCAGTGACGGCAAAAATCAGCCAAGAGTGTCCATATAATTGCTATCGCAATAAAAGGATGCACCCGCTCAATGCTGCTACATAGTAGGATGTTGAAAGTTAAGCCATGAATATTAGATATGGGTAGATTAGCATAGGGAGAAAATACAAGAATCGTGGAAAATAATGAGCCTGAAGACAGTTGCCACATTACAAAGGTAGCAAATTGCAGTCAGAACAAAGGATATGCCTTAACGCTGGTGATGTGAATAATGGCAAAGGAGCATGGTCTACGAAAATGTTTTTGCTAAGTTCACTTCACAAAGTAGTGCAGAGCTCTGTAAAGTTCAAAATATTGCCACAACAATTTTTGTGAGTGCCTGATTGATGTATAGTAGCCTACAACCGGAATACATCGCATAGCTTGTATGTTACAGCTCTGTGGTGGATGTTGTACAAGCAGGTGTCTCAAGTTGACTGCAACAAATTCATAGCAAAGAAAGCTTCCGCACCTTTTTGGCACTCTGAAGAAGGATGTCTATATCTGGAGTGGTATGATCAAATAAAGTTCACATGAGTGTTAATCAAAGCAATGTTGTGACACTGCAGCTGCAAACAGATAAAAATAAGTGCATAGTTACATGATGTGACATATGGAAGCACTTAGTACCAATTCTTGAGACCCGTGGCAACATACATGGAATGAATGTCTGCGATTACTTAGCTGAGGTGCTAAGTAAACACGCTGGCCTGCATATGATATTCAGTTGCAGTATGTGACACCACTCAGAAGCAGGATATCGCCAAGTAACTGTGCTGCTAATGCTATACCATGAACTTTGATAATGACAGCAGAACAACATGGTGGACAGCAATGGTCTGGACAAAGAAGTTAGCCGCATCTGAATCAGGAGCTCAGTGAATGGCTTAGGTTTCACAAAATCAAGCCAAGTAGCCAGCGACAACAACAATCCAGCGATCATTGGTGGTAGAATAGAGGCCAATTTCACCCATGGGTAGCAGGGCAAAACATCTTTTGGTGCAACTGGTGAAGCGATTACAAAACTGAACTTTCTTTCTTGAGCTCCAAACATCCAAGTGGGCTAAGTTCCATCTAAGCAAGCCGTCAAAAGGTTCAAGATTAATGTTAACAGTGTAAACACACAAGACACCCCACAAAGTGGAGACACACACATACAAGCACTAGGTGTGTTGGGAGTCAACTACTAGGTGTGTTGTGGTGCTTCCTCATGTGGGTTTGTGCAGTAAATTTAACATCATTATTATGTGACAACTAGCCCAAATGACGTTTCATTGATGTCCAAAAGTGCTTTGACAAAATATTACATAATTTCGGTCAAAATACCGAGATTAAGTGTGAACTGTTGGATCTGAACTTGAGACACTAGCATATTGAAAGAATGCACGTTTGTGACTTTAATCCAAGTAGCACAGAGGTATGCATTCCCTACCTGACTTGACAGCTGCCAGATGCCATCAATATGGAGGTGCTTCTGGAGCATCTTGGGGGCAAGAAGGTAGCTGCAAAAGTTATTAACAGCTTTCACTGATATCCTGCACATTGGAGATGCATCGAAGGCCCTGCAGGCTCAGTGTTCACATATGTGCAAGCAACCTGCCAGTTATACCGGTGACCAAGAAAGAGCGAGAAGATATTTGAATTTTGAGAGGCCTTGTCTCAAAACAGTAGGTAAATAAATAAGCTTTTACTCCAGAAGAAAACACCTCCATTGTGTCATCACACCTGATCAAAGCAGAACTGGCCCAATGACCCTTTACTGTCTGTCTATATTAACTGAATTGAATAAAAAACAAATACTGATGACATTGAATTGAATACTAACACAAAAAGAATGCTGTTTGAATAATTTTCGAACAGTAAGGCCACCAATTTCAAGGGAGCCCCATACTCGTAACAATCTTCAAGATATCCCAAGAATTCTACAACATTTTATTTAAAACATATTCACTACTTTAAGAAGAAAACGTTAGGATTACTGTTAACCGACAAAAATACCACGACCATTCAAAGTGAAGCAAGCGTGTATACAGCAGCAATCAGAACCCCGAAAATATTTTGTAACTACAGTCTGAAATATAGCAGTGGCTACAGTATTCAAAAGGGACTTTGACAACAGCTTGTAACTAAAACTGATACTCAAATATTAGGCAATTTCCTTGACTTGACATCATTGTGAATGTTATGGTTACAATAGCAGATAGGTGACACTCGAGTTCTGAGCAGAAACACTTTCTTCCTGTTATCAATAAGGTGACAGCGGCACCATAACAACATGGGCGACATGCATTTGGCTAATTCAACGACGAAAGCAGGAAAGGGTTACCTCTCGCTGTTCTAATGTCTTTTACCTCTCGCTGTTCTAATGTCTATTAGCAACGAGCCTTTTGCCTCGTTGCTGATAATTTGAACAATATTTGGTATTTTGATATTTATAGTTTGATTCATTTTTCAATATTTTTAATATTCACAGAGCCCTAATATAGAGAAATTAAACACTCTTGCAACAACAATTTACTCACAAAAAGTTGGTACATACATCTTCTAGGTGACGAAATCGATGGTTTGATGACAATTTAGCAGGCTTAGAAGAGCCATTTAAGAATGGAAAACTTAAGAAATGTCCCCCAAAATTAAAAGTTTTAAAAATGGCACAAAGCTTGCACTAAGTCCCACAAAGCTTGGTACACAGTGAAGCTGATCATTCTCATACTCCTTTATTACTGTATCTAGGCAGAATTTGGCTCAATCTTGGCTGTGGTGAGGTTGATTTGGCTTGACTTTGTCAGTCACAAGGTTAACTTGGCTTGAACTTGTCTGCAGCAAGATTGAACTTGGCTTGAGCTTGTCTCTAGTGAGGTTGGACTTGGCTTGAACCTGTCTGCAGCGAGGTTGAACTTGGCTGGTGTGAGGTTAAGTTGGCTTGAGCTTGTCTGTAGCAATGCTGAACTTGGCTTGCACTTGTCTGTAGTGAGGTTCGACTTGGCTTGAACTTGTCTGTGGTGAGGTTGAACTTGGCTGTGGTGAGGTTCAAGGTGGCTTGATCTTGTCTGTAACAAGGTTGAACTTGGCTTTAAATTGTCTGTAGCACGGTTGAACTTGGTTTGAACTTGCCTGTAGTGACGTTTTATTTGGCTTGAACTTGTCTCTGATGAGGTTGAAGTTGGCTTGAACTTAACTGTAGTGAGGTTTGACTTGGCTTGAACTTGTATGTCGCGAGGTGGAACATGGCTGTGGTAAGGTTGAAGTTGGCTTGAACTTGTCTGCAGTAAGGCTGAACTTGGCTTAGACTTGTCTGCAGCCAATTTTAACTTGGCTGTGGCGAGGTTGAACTTAACTTTAATTTCGTTTTTACTAAGAAGTGGGGCTTCCCGATTCCTGTGGCACATACCTGACCAAGTTTTTTGGTTTGCCAAACAAGGAATGGCTTGCTAAACATATTTTCCTTTAAGAACTAAGACGTTTTCAGGCCAGTAGGCATTTCTTGTGTTTTCCATTCCTCACTTTCTGGATGAAAATGAAATTGAAGTTGCAGGACATTTTTGTTACCAAAATTTGCTGCACATATCTCTCAATTTACTGTGATGAAGCTGCTGCATGTCTCTTACACAGCACTGATTGCATGCATTTTGTGATTTGACAAATTTTAATGGTGAATATAAATACTTGCTCTGTAAGCTCCTCCAGAGGGCTGAACTTCTTACCCGAATGCTGCCGCATTCCCACAATACATTACTTCTACCTTATATCAACTCGTACTAAATTGTTTGCATACACCGATTCTCATAATGCATTGCCATGTGAGCCTATTAATTCTTACTTTATTGGGCTTCCCTCAGAAACAGAAGCGTTACTAGTACTTGGTGCAGGCCAAATCACAATGTTCGTGGAGGCGTTTGAAAGGATATAAAAAGAAATGCACATGTGTAAGCTACCCTTTTATTGCTATGATTGACGAGAAAGTGGCTTTTCTGGACCGTGCACAGTTGTGATCTTCCACACAGATTATTATTGCTGTATTGCTTTTGGGGGGTGCACAGTTTTGATGTTAATCTGTCGATTGATATGTGGGGTTTAAAATCCGAGAACCAACATATGATTATGACAGACGCCATAGCGGAGAGCTCCGGTTATTTTGACTACCTGGCATTCTTTAGCGTGCACCGAAATCTGAGTACACAGACCTACAGCATTTTCGCATCCATTGAAAATGCAGCTGCCATAGCCGGGATACGATCCCGCGACCTGCGGGTCAGCAGCCGAGTACCTTAGCCACTAGACCACCGTGGTGGGGCGATGTTAATCTTTCCTACCCATATATATGTTGGATGTCTTTTTCTAATAAACATTGAGTTATTAGACAGCACCTGTATCGTTTCATATTCTCGTTCATGTTCTATTAGCACTGGCTGTCATTAGTGTTTTCCAACTTGCCCAACTAGCTACCCTTTCAAGGTCTTGATTAATTGCCAATGACAACTTTACTGTCAAGAGTAATTCAAAGCCCTTTCAAGCTTCCACGTTGCAGACAACTTGCATATTAAGATAGGAGTCATATGCTTATCAAACTTGCAGGCCCAGCTGGTATACATACTAGTAAAACTAAACAACAACAAAAAAGCATCTATGTATTGTCTGGTGTTTCATTCATAGTAAAAATTGTGTAACCATACTCACTCATTGAGCTCAAGTTCCAAACGAAATTTGTAGTGAAATGCCTTGATGAGCAATGATGTTTGATGAAAATGCTTGTTTGTCTGGGAGAATAAAAAGGAAAGAAATGTTCTGTTAATTGACATGCATGCAGAAACAGCAGTATCTGAAATCTCACCTCACATGTAATCTTGACAGGCTCATGTACATAAATTTATACCACAACCACCTAGTCATGGTGTCAAAAACTAAATGCCCTAGTTACAGCTTGCTACTCTCCATTTACTGTAGGCAGCCATACAGGGTATACTAAGTTCCATGTCAACTCCCAACTAACGAAATATAATGTTGTCAAGACCCAAATAAGGAAAATGCTAAATATTTAGTTTTGACTAACAAGCCTGCTGTCAACCACAGCTGTAGTACCTGCCACCTTTCTTGATGAGACAAACACTACACGTTGTGTTCACCAACACAATACTACACAAAAAATTATGCTTTTTCTTTTTTTAGAACCATGTGGAATAAACTAAGTATGCACCATGCACTGATTTTACATCGCCTGTCTGTCCATTAGGTAGACCACTGCTTTTGTTTGCAGTGCTGCAATATCTTGTTCGTTCTTTTTTTTTTTTTGCCTACCTAGCTTGGGCTTAAGTATGGGACAAATAAATGAACAAATAAATCAATTTGCTACCACCAATATCAGTCAACTGCAAACTTAAGATTCCAGATTTAGCTTTTTAATGGTTCAAATAGATTTGCCGGCAGCACTTGTAAGGTTAATGTTTTCACTGACCCATATTAACAAACCAACTAGGCCACTAACTCCACTTTTTGGCAATATTTTCCAAAATAGGCGAGAAAACAATTTTATTTTCTTCTGATTATGGCACAGAAGGAGCAGGGCTTTAGTTTGAGCACCCACTCTAACGCTATCCTACTGAAACATCTAGATGCCCTATAGCCTGCGCTCTGCCCAATCTTCTTAAAGTGCTGCTATACTTGGTGTATGTAAGGGGCTACTGCCACCTTAGCTTTTTTTTCTTCCTTATCATGGCAGTCATTATTACAAGAGCACTTGGTCTCTTTGAACAGCTGACCAGCAACAGAAGCAAGGTTTGCATATTGTCTTTCAAACACCCTAACAACTGGAAAAACTGTGCAAGTAAACGACTTGCATTAGCACAAGAAAAGACAGCTGCCAATCAAGCACAGGGACTTATTGTACCATATGTCAACAATCTAGTGTCATGCGGCAAGAAATATCTCGACCAAACTTCAAGATGGCTAAACACATTCTTGCGTGAACAGTGCTCGAATAAGCAGTAAGGCAACTCCGAACATTTGAATGTGCATTGCGTGGGGTTTGGTTGCCTGCCTGCTTATAATCAAACCAAAGTGATTTTCAAAAGTATAAATTGCGTACTTGAGAAACTGTAGAGGCAGCCCATATTGCTCGATTGGGGAACATGCATCAGCAGGTCTCCCACTGATTTGCACAAGAAGGAAGTAGATTATCTTTCCTATGCAGATGTACTTGTAAGATAGTGTTTTAACTTTTTACCATAGTCACTTGTTTATATTTATACATGGTGCTCGTCACATGTTCTTAAGCACAGTGCAACTTTTCCACTACATATAGGCATTTCTTCCAAATAAAAATCAGTTTAACGTCATCGCTAGCTCGTGTCACCTCTCTTCTGTCCATTCGTGTTTTTTTCTGCACTGTGGAAATTTTGCATAATGATGAATTACCAACTTGCTCAACATTTTCACGGTAATCTGTGATTTTATCTCAGTTTGCCTGTACAGCCATATAATTATATCCATTTAAAGGCATGGTGGCACAATGAGTTTCCCTCGTGGCAACAGCAGGAACTATGTCACTTATGATTTTTAACTCTTTTAGCCCCCATTACATTACTGGTGAATATTAAACGAACGTGTGAATCTCTGGTCATTGTTGCTTGCCTTGTTTGCTGTAGTGTCTCTGGTGGAAATGCCCAGCTTCTGGTGGTGGCGCACCTGAACTGGGTAGATCACCTCATAGATGCGGCTCGGAATGCTAGCAATAAGTCGCTCATTCTCCGGGTACCGCTTCAGCCGGTCCACCACTGCGTCAAAAGACACATTTATAGCTGCAAATTTTTTACACAGAAAATACATTCCCTAGTAATGCTATAAAAATTAATAACTCATTGACATTGAGGCCTAGATTACCACACATCTAGATTTTTTTAAAGCTGCCTGCCAGCAGACATTTCACTTGTAATCCACAATCACCACATCATCATAATTCAGTTGAATATCAAAACTCTAATTAAGTGTCTCAAAAACAAAGCCGACACTGATTCTATAACAGATGCTCAATTAGCTTATTGCTTTGTTTATATTACTGCTCATATTTCCTATACTAACAATTAGTCAGCATGTGCTATGCACTCTTAAAGGTTGAACAAAAGCCAATTGCCCCACTATGTGTCCAAGTGCAAACTGGCTGAAATTATGCAAGGCTTCACAACAATCCCAGCCAGGTCAAACAATCGAGCACATTGTTTTCCAAGAGAATGCATGTTTGTGGCTGAAGCACTTGTGCTCAAGATTTGACAAGTACTTTTAAGATCAGTTCTTAAGAAGCATTTAATGTGACCGGGTAAATGATAATGCATGTTACAAGTCTGCTTCAAATATCATTACATATTACGTCAATACACTCAGTTTTGCAATTACCATCTTGTAGAAAGTAAAATCCATAGATGACGCTGAAGTATCAAAAGTCTGTTTAATCTGATAGAAATAAGTGCAAGCAGAATGCACCTCTGAAAATGTCAGAATACTTTCGTAGCACCCATTCATTAGACTAGTGCAAAATTTTAAACTATATCCTTTAGAGTACTAATGCAACATAAAAGCAGCTGTATGGTTCATGTCACAACACCCAAATCAGTTGTTTAGATAAAATTACTGTATAGGCACTTTCCTGGGTGGGCCTTTCCAGGAATGTTTACAAATATGCTATGAAAAGAAACAGAAATGATGTAATTACTTATTGGCAAGCTAGAGTTCAATTTTCCAAAGTGTGCTTTGAACAATAGTCCTAAACACAACAAACCATGGCCATATTTTATAACGGCCATTCTGTTCCCAATTATTTTCAATCATCAATCACTGGAACAAATGCTACCTATGTGCTCATTCCGATAGCATTAGCTGCGCACGCGTGATAGAAAGCTCACAGCATGCAGATATTTCATTTAGAGAGAGGCCCAACCACCTTACGTATGTACAGCCAACAGAAAAAGCTTTTGGGGGGTTGGATCGTCAACAAATGCGAATTTCTGCTATATCAGTGCTTAATGCTTGTTATCAAGCGGGTGATGCATAGGTCAGAATGCAAAGTGCAATATGGAACATTCATTTGGAGATTACATTTGGAGACAAAGTGGGAATTTTGCTCCACTAAACATCTCCCGTCCCACAAACTTTCGCTGTTGGGTGCACATATATGTATGTATGAATGCAGATTAAATATCCGGGGGGGGGGGGGATACCGGGGGGGAGGCATTTTACGCTAAAAAAGGAAACCAACGATTGTTACTATAGGTCTACAGTAGTTTTCACCTCACCTGGCGAGCGTCGAAGTGATCAAGGGCCTTTTGTCCTAGCTATTATTCATACATACAGCTAAGTGGCTTGGTCTCTGCAGCATTCAAACAAATAACTCTGTACTCTTATCAACGTGCTTTCTCCGAGAGAACAGTCGTGCGTTTCACGCAATGAAAAAGGCAAGGAGATGATTCCCTAAAAGGGAGGCGTGTGGCCCACACTGCGCGCATGCGTGCGCTCGACGTGCATATATACTCGACGACGAAACTAGCTCAGTGGGACACGCACCCGTCGATGTTGCGATCTGCACACTTAAGTCGTGGTACGTTATACACAAAAAAATTTGATTATTTTTGGCCGAACATATCGCCAAGAGCACGTGTGGCTCGCGAGGTGGCCTGTTGTATATTTTAGAGCTCGGAATAGAAAATTATGCCGCGCAGCCGAAGCGCCCAATGCACCTTTCACAAGCTGTGATAGGTAGCTAAACCACACAGACTCGATTCTCTAATTGCACAAAAGTACGCTGTAAGCATAACTTTAAAACCGAAAATGAAGCTGCAATAATTGTATCTCATCTAGCAGTCCCGCATTGGAATAGAGTAACGTACTTAGCGCAAAGGGAATTACACCACGAGTAAATATATGCAGTGGCCATAAGTGAATGCTCACCTAGTAACCGGCTGTTGTCTGGAAGCTCATCAAAGGCCGAATCTGCCTCTGCAGGGAACGAAAGTGTCGAATGAGGTTCACAAAGCCCATGCAGAAAAGGCCCATCGTGCCATGCTCACCCCTAGTGTACCGTCGGGCGGCGAGCAGCGGCGAGGGAGCCGCGTGGCAGAGCAGCAGCACGAGGAGCAACTCGCCGACGGGTGGCTGCATGGCCGGCGACTAGGTGCGCTCCTCATCACGCTGCCGCGCCGCCATGGGACGGACGATCAAAATGGCGGCCGCTGCGGAGCAGCCGTGAGCTCAAGCGAGCTGCGGCGGCCGTACGGCGATGTGCGCCACCATGAGACCGCGCTCCCCAACCCGAGATCGATCACCGTCATCGGGAGTCCCGTCACGTGACTCTTCCCTCAAATCCCGCGGTCTACTGCGAGGGACAGTCACCAGGCCGCGCCACCTGTCTCAGCTGGGGCGTGCCCCGTTGACGTATGTTGAGAGAAGTGTACCCCTACGTACTCCCACTAAAGGTAGCTTTTTGTAGAGCGGGAACCGCGGCGGTTTTCAACCGCCCGTCGGTATGAAATGGCCACATCTCTGCGCGCATTCACCTCGTCAGATGCGCAAAAGAGTGACCCCCTTGCCTGGGTAAGGTACCGTTCCTCTCGTTGGTCTGGGGGTCCGCTAGTGGACGCGACACCCTTGCCCGGGTAAGACCGTTCACCCGAAACAAAAAGATCCCGTTCACAGACCCAGGGCGGGAACCCTACCGGGGCGAACATATTTGGATTATGAGGGTTTTATATGTGTTATGTACTTTGGGACATGGCGCTTTCGGGTACTAAGCTCCCCATACTTTCTGACAACGGTAGGGTGTAATCGCTAATGGTGTAATGAGCCATTTTGATAGGACGAACCGCACGCAGCGAATGCATGTTCATATGCACGCAAGGATCAGTGTGCGATCTTTCTATTTCGCAGCGATAGATAACGGCTATTTAATGCGAAGCATTCTTCGGCAACTTCCATACGAATTTGGTGACTAACATACAACGTACGTCTTCCTGGCGGTCAGCGGGAATACATTTGGGGCTCCAATAATTAAATGGCTCGTGAGGCCCGTTTTTTATTTGTTCTTTTTAGGCACAATTCCGAGCTAATCGTGTTCCTATAGCGTTCTTTGTAGTACTTTGCTGTAGTACTCACAGTAACAAACGGAAATTTAAGGACGCATTTTTTTTGTTATATACACACATGACAACTATGACGTACACCAAGGGAAGTTTAGGGGATGTTATTTCTATTAATAAATTATAGAAATGCGGGCACCGGACGCGTTATTCGAAGGTCGCAAGTTAGGATTCTGCTAACTGCAAGTTACCTTTTCGTCAATTTTATTTCCTCACATTTATATGATGCTTACTACAAAAAAACATCCTCTGTACCATTTATTATCTATTAGTTCTCATTATTATCCCAATAACAAGCATGTTACATCGAACTTTCCACAGGTATATGGACAAGAGACATACTATACAGTCGGATACAAACGCAATCACTGAGGGGCCGTGCCCAAGAAACCGAAACGTGGCAGCTGGTCGTTCCTCCGACTAAAGAAACAGTGCCGCCCATGCACTGGGCAATGTTCTCCGAAGGCGGGGCCACCAGCCGCCCGGCCCGTGACGTCAATCGGGAATGCGCAACCATGCATAGGTGTATATGCATTGTGTGCATCCGCGAATGCCGCGCACTTCCAAAGTCATATCCGGCTACCATGAGGTGAAGAAGGTTTATTTAGACTTGACGTCTTGATCATCACCGGATGCTATAGTAGATTTTTGTGCAACTGCTGGTAATGTTCTCGACATTTTCAGGCAATTAACATTCCAGTTCCCATTACTATTCATACATGAGCTGTTTCCCGACAAGGACTTGATTAAGCCGCTAAACCTTAGATCAAGATTTCGTAACAGAGTACATTTATATAGTTGCGCTTGTTGAGATAATGAACATGGGGGGGGGGGGAGCAGTCCCAGCAGGCGGTACCGGCGCATTCAAGAAAAAGCGTTATCATAAACGTACACCTTATATAATGCGCTGAAAAGCACGCACGAGCTCATGATCAAAGAATACTATGGTTGATATGTGGGGTTTAATGTCCCAAAACTACCATATGATTATGAGAGACGCCGTATTCCGGAAATTTCGACCACCTGGTGTTCTTTAACGTGCAACCATATCTGAGTACACGTGCCTACAACATTTTAGCCTCCATCGAAGATCAAAGAATACCAAGCTTCATAAACTCGAAGACTGTCAGTATCAGGGTATCCGGGTTCACTTAATTGTGGTTTTTATTGCTGAAGGAATGCTCCGAACAATGAAAAAATAACGGCGATCAGAGAGACAAAATGAGGGAGCGACGACAAAATGATAGCCGTCATCCCTAACCTCGCACAGTTTAAAGAAAAATTGGAAGAAAGTTTCTGGCACCCTTCAATTTAACTGCTCGTGCCGTGTTGAAAATTACGTGTAGAAAATGTACGAAAAAAAAAAAAAACGCAAGCACGCATAGGCGCTACTTCCAATCAAAAGCTGCATATATGTCTTTCGTGCGCTTTTGCTATTCTTCAGGATGGATAACCGATGTAACGGCCGCATAACAAGAAGGAAAACAATGCAAGATTGACGAAGCCAATTCGTCACTTAAGTTTGTGATGAAAGGGTTGTAATACTGTTATCTGGTAGCCACGAGTAGATTCGGCAGACAGGAAGTTGTGCAGGGAACACTACGCGAATGTTGCTGAAAGCCAGGAGCATAGCCAGAAATATTTTTCGAAAGGAGGGAGGGGGTGGGGGTGGATTCGATCATAACTTACGTTCGTGCGTGTGTATATACGCAAAGCCAAATTGAAAGTTTTCGAGGCGGGGGGTGATTGGGGGGGGGTGAACACCCCCCCCCCCTATTGCCTCCACCCATCCCGAAACAAGCAGGATACACATGCACTGTCAACAATGTGAAACTCCATCTGGTCCCACCTTCTATGCGAGCCCTTAATTGTTTGAATGTTGCGAATCAAGTTACTTGTATCAATCAACACAAAGAGAAACACGTTATGGGAAGTTATATGGAGACTGTGAGCATTTTCAGTGGGGGAACAAATCGTGAGCGTAGCATCAATGGCACACTCAAGCAAAGAGCTGCGCCGCTACGTTTTCACACCTTCGGCAAGCAGCACAAGGCTTATTATAATTGTTCCATGAATAGCGCACCCTTTTCTGTCTGGTACTGATATTTCATGAACGTATCTTGACACGTGGTCGTGACATTGACGAAAGCAGCCGTCAGTGGGTCCAGGAGAAACTTATTATTTTGGCGAACTTGTGCCCGGAAAAAGAAAAGTCTACAAGCAATAGACGTTGTACTCAGAGCGTCGGCGGCATGTGTAATCTTATCTTTTCATAATTACATTCGAGACTTATTCCTGATGGCCGCGCTAGTTCAAGGAAAAGCTGAACTTTTGGCGTTTCTTCGCTCAAGCCATTCAGGCGCGGTTCGCGAAAGCGGGGTAAATAGAAATATTAATAAACGAACGCCAGACTTGCGCGGAAAGCGCGACACATACGTCGCAGTAAAAGCTGGAAAAGCGACATTTCTATAGTATAAGCACGCTTGCAAGGTACGCACTACGCCATAAATAATTTCACTCAATTTGGGAAGCACCAATCCGCCATTAGTCGTCATTTTGCGGAGAAGCGGCCGGGGTACCGCATGTGGCTGCTGTCGATGAGGAATTTTGGTTGAGCTTTCTGTGATGGGTTGGAGGCGTTCAACGACCCACTCATTATGTCATTCATACTGTTGACGCCTGGTTGTTAGTTTTGCTCTTTTACAAACATGATCGCAGGCAGAAACTTTTTTCGCGAGGGTGGAGGGGGGGGGGCTTTTTGAAATCGTTATTTTTCGCTCTTATACCATGGCGAAAAAATAAATTCCGAGAGGGGGGGCACAAGCTCGGTGTGCCACCCCCTGGCTGCGCCACTGTTTGTACCATGCTATATTACACACTCCACGCGGTTTCTACCCGACATAACACCGTATAGGGTATTTCTGCAAAGGGTATTCCGAGCGCTGGCATGGCTGTGTGGCAGGATAGTGGGTTGTCACTGAAAGGACCCAAGTTCGTACCACAGTCCATCATGATTTTTTTTTTCGAATGACAGTGCGTACGGACTACGGCGGCTGCGACGGTGGACAACTATACATCGGCGCCAAAAACAACTCTTGTGTTCTCATAAAACATCTCTCACTGTAAAAGTAGCGCGCGTAACATTGCCCGCCCCCCACCCCCCATGAAAAAGCATCGTCCCAGTGCTTATCACAGAATATGGAAGGAGAAAATGTGCATACAAAACGAAAGAACAAGAATAAAGAAAGCAAAAAAAAGAAAAGGTTGAGCCTTCAATTTCGCCAAAGCGCATATAAAACGACCGGCTCGAAGGTGCGCGACATGAACGACATGTGTTCGTGTGCAGTGCCACTGATATAGTTCATACTGCCATCCGCGATGACCTAGCGTAGTCCAGAGCGCCGAGACGTCGAAAAGCAACTTACATGTGCTGAAGTATCGACGATGATATTTTTTGCTGCGTACACGTCGGCATATCGGTGTCCAGACCCAGACAAGGCTACCGGGCCGGTATTCCACGAAGAGTCGCCGAAGGCTGTTAGGACAACTGTCGGTCTATTGCGTTCTATTGAGTCTTGATGCATGAGCGGGCGCAAGCTGTCGGGCGTCTCCAGTGCGCTCGAGGTGGAGAGCAACATACAGGGGTCCTGACGTTTGGTAGCATGGCGTCAACTTCCATTTGAAAGAAACTTATGTAGCGCGAGGCAAAAAAACGAACACAGGAAAGAATAGACTGAGAAGACAGAGCGCTACTATCAACAACATGATTTCTGGTTACGACAACATTTCTGGTTACGACAAGAGTGGCCCACATCGCCACTCTTGTCAACTTCCAGCGCCGTTGAGGGTCTCCTTTGATAGCTAGCTTGAACGGCGTCATTCGTGTTCTTGCACTGCCGTGTTGCAGGTGAATGTTATGAACGGAAGAATGGCGTCCCATGTCTTTCGTTCGACGTCAATGTGAATGGACAGCATTACCACGTTTGTCTTATTTAGACGCTTGGTCGGGCCATTGGTCTGTGCATGGATGGTAGGCTGCGATCCGGCGGTGGATTGTCTGGCAGTATTTCAAGTTTGCTTGCGTTAGGTCAGCCGTAAAAGCCGTAACCCTGTCGATGACACATACTTCTGGTGCGCCACGACACATTACGATATTCGCGACGAAGAACTTCGCTACCTCAGCGGCGG